GGGCCAAAATTATAGGTTGTGGAAGCAACCGACCGCCCAAAAACACGCAGGCCCGCGCGACGACAACACCGTCATCACCAGAACTGATACGTACAATTCCATCCCACTGCGTCTAAAGTCACTGGAACTTGACGGGCAAGGAGGTGTTTGTGATGGATCAGAAGGGGTCCAAAAACTAGTGAACAAAGTGAAACACATAAACACTGGGCCGTCCACATAGTACTGAATCCCTGCTCCACACATTAACGTACAAAGAGACAAAGGGAAAATTGAGATTGTTAGGGCGCACACTCTATGGAATAAACATCAGAAAACAAGGGGCTGCCAACATAACACAAGCATTCAACAGGAAAAAACAATTTTGCATCTAAAAAAAAAACACATTGATTATCCAATGCGCCATAATATATTTTTTTCACATGAAGCGTAAATACATCTGAGACAAAACTTCAAAAGACCAAAACCGACCTGCATCGAGATTTGATTGCAATACATCGTGGCCCGACATTTTCAACACTCACTACAGTGAAACGAAGAAATGCTTTCTCCTCCCGATACCAGTCAGCCAGTTAGCTGGAACTAGCCTATCCAGCTCTTCTTGGGACAAGCGAAATACTCTTTCTTTCTTTCATCATCGTACGTGCCCTCGCTGTCCACAGCCATCCCAGCTCCAAAGTTCGCTACATCAGACACATTGTTGAACAAGCATCACTCGAGCTACAAGCATTTATGGATTATCTTGCATAGACTTCAGCAATCACATCGTCAACGTTGGCAACTTATAAAACAACACTCGCATCAATCCTCTGTGGAACGTGCTGTGTATGGATCGTAAGTCATGGGCGCAAACTACACGAGAAGGCAGTCAATAAGTGCGGTCGCCACAGACGAGAGGAACAGTACCGAAGGTGAAAACCAGGAGTATTTTCGATTCCCCCGCCCGGAGCTGGAACCAGGAAGGTCCAGCACAACTGGCTGACCCATGTATCACGGGTGAGACAGCACAAATTATCTTGACAATCTCTCGAATCTTCACTGATGAGATTAGAAAAGCATTACTCTACTATATTACGTGAATCAGATGTGCCTGCCCACAAATTTGAACAAATAACAAGTCAACACAATCAATGAAATAATATACAGTAATACAAAAAACAGTACATATGCAAATTGTGGACAGTTATAATCATGTAGTACCAACATAATTCATACTAACAAACTAATAAAGAACCATCTTTTAGAATGTTAAATTGCTTTTAATGAAAAATGGGACAATCCCAAAAAAATCAATTTTCACTTGTCTATTCTCATTTCAGATGGCCCAGACAGGAATCAGTAACCATAGACATTACAGTACTGGCAGTGAGTCACATACAATTGTCACTGAACACAATATCTGCCACACAGCCCACACCCATGACTCCATTATATCCAAAGACTTCCAGCAGATATGAGAACTTGACACACAAGTTCACCTGGAAGCTTGTCCGTAGAGGACCATGGGAGCTGAGGAGCCAACAGAGTGTCAGGCATACTGACAAATCAGAAGCACAAGACTAAGACCCCACGACTCAAGCCATCCCAAAAACCAACCACTCACATGGCTCTGGTGCGAAGGCCTCCAGAAGGTAAAGGCAGAGAGGACCAGTAAAGAAGATAGTTGTTAGAGGTGGTCCTGAGACAGGAGGACTTCTGACAATGTCGTAGGTGATTCCCAAGACAATAACTGTGACGGACTGCATCGCAAGGAGTAGGGATCTGCCCAAAAAAGGGTTGGGTTACACATCATTTCTATTCTATCCTCTCTACTCCACCTCTTCAACTCTTCCTCATGTTTTGAGCATCCCTGGCAACCATCCATGTGGAAAATGCACCAAACATGTGGTCACCAGATATCTCAGCAAGATTCTTCGTAGTGAGAACTTCAAAGAAATATTCACACATCCCAATTTACCAGGATCAGAAGTCGACATGAATGTGGAATCAGGACCTGATACTACATCTTGTCCTATATAATAGGGCGACTGTGTGTGATAACATCATGTGTCGCGGCCAAACTCAAAGACCAATCAATCAAACTTTGGAGAACATATCTGCAGAAAACCTGCCCACAACGACTTACATGCCACACCATACCTGACACCCTTACGCCAGCCAAACACCCTAGCATGACTGGAACAACAACAACAAAACACAAAAGCCACAATACAACCAAAACAATCCACACCAGCCACAACAAAACCACACCATCAAGGCCACCGACCAAAACCTACAGGCCCACCCCTCCCCCAAACCCCCGCTCCCCACCCCGACCCGACCCCCCGGCCCCATCGCTGCAGCCGGCGCCCAATAGCCATCCACCCTGCGCCCCACAGACAAACAACAACAGACCATATTGCACCCCAAGAAGGTTTGTGGAAATTAAACAAACAAAACAAAAGAACAAACAGCACACACAACAAACAACACAACAACGAACGGGGGGTATACCTGTCATTATACAGATACGCTGGAGACTAGTTATGGGCACGGGAGAAAGGCAGACCTGTGTTTAGTGATGGGATCATCTCTGACTGTCACCCCTGCCTGCGATATCCCTGAGGTTCCACCATAATATGCACATAGTTACTGCTTACACCCATTTTAAAGGGCGACCTTAAGTTTTCACGTTCTTCACTTGGTTTACAGATGGTAGGTGAGAGAGGACAGAAGTTGGTGATAGTGAACCTGCAGTCGACACCCATGGACCACCTCTGTGCTCTCAGGATCTTTGCCAAGACTGACCAGGTGAGTCAGGAGAAGAGAGAGAGAGAGAGTAAGAGGAGCTGCTGGTGTGGCAGGTGAGCAGTCTGCTGATGAAGAAACTGGGTCTGGAGACCCCTCAGTTCCAGCTACGGAGAACTCTCATCATATCAGCTACCTCCACCCCCTCAGGCCATGTGGAGGTAGGGGTGTGGCTGGTGGGTGTGGTCTCCTTCACTTCTTTATTCTCAGGTGGGCGTGGCAGGAGCCGATGATCTGGGCTATCCCTTCTCGTTTGTGAAGGAGGTGACGGTGAGTGGAGGAGGGGAGAAGATCAAGTGTTGTGAGGAGCCGTTCAAAGCCACAGTGGGCATGGCCAAGGAGGGAGTGGGTGTGGCTATTGAGGTAGTGTTCCATGGTCACTACGGAGAGCCAGCGCTGAGTCTGCCAGTCAGAGTGGACCAGTCTCTGGAGATGGTCAGCATCTCCTTCAACCCTTTCCTCGCCCAGTGGACTGTGCAACGAGGGGACGACAGGGACGAACGAGATCTATCAGCGAAAATGGACGCAGCAAAAATTTGAACAATGATGATAAAAACTTTTTTCCGTTTTTTAGAACATGACATGATATTATTTTTATGACAATATGAGAAAGATTGAAAATGAACGAGATTTGTAAAAATTGTCAAGAAGTTTTCTCAGAGTAATCTTTAAGGAGAGAGCTGTCCAGATGTGTGTTGAGGACTTTCGTCACTCGGGCCTTCTTCCTGGTCTTCTGGTTGGTGGTGGGAGCTCGTCTCTTGCGAGCCTCTCCCTGCATGGACCCCAGGCCGATGGACTGGAGGTGTTTGTCAATATCTGCCTCAGTGAGTCCATCCACGCTCACTCTGTGCCACAGCCCACGAAACTCTTCCGCCATTGGCAACTGGAGACTCTGGTCATTGTAGAACACCACCTCTTCTTTGTCTGGACGACTTATCTTCATCACCAGACCTTCTTCCACCAACTTCTGTCACACACACATATACAAAATGTAATCTTCATATGTGCATCAAGTAACGACATGTCCTTCGCAAACATGCTTGGTGATTCCCAAATCCTGATTTCTTGACTGCAATTCTGAAGTCTATATTCACATTGTAAGTCTCAGTGTATGTAATGTGTGACCAATCAGGTCAGCTTCGTCTTGTTTTGGCCTCATCTCACGTTACCCACATTGTATATTTAGAGTCTTTTCAAGCAAACGACTGCCCTCACTAGCAAACACCACTCACAGTCATGGCCTTGTCTGGATTATGAACAGCCTCTCTGATCTCGCTCACGGGGATTCCCCCCAGCCCCTGTCTGTCGTTGTCCCTCAGTCTCTCGAGCAGCTGTCTCCGGTTCCTCACCCCCAGACCCAGCATCGGCTGTGCGAGGGGATGGCCCTGGTAGGTAATCACTACGACCTACATACCTTGAAGAGGTATTTCTCTCCTGCAGGGTTGTAGAGAAGCTTTGGATTATCCTTCAGTGCCTGAGAAAGAAAGTTAGAGAACATAGCTGCAGTGGAACTCTTCTCTAAGGGGACCTCTCTATTATGGACACCTGTATTTTCCTAAGAAGAGTTCTTGCATCTAAATAAGAATGCCTCACTAATTCCTAGGGAAGCAGAAATAGTCATTTCACCAGAGAGAGCCAGTCTCGAGTGTCCATGCGGAGGTCCGAGAGGCCCAGCTGCTCCAGAATACCTTCCAGAGTCAGTGGCTCATACACTTTGCCAGCATACCTCCGCCCCATCATATCCACCACTGCCTTCAGGACTCTGTATGGCATGTTACTGCGAGGCCCCACCAACACCGACTGCCCAATCTTATCCACTCCTTCTGTATTCGTGTGAGAGACACGTACTACATAGCTGCTAAACCAGGAGTCTGACGTACCTACTGCCTGAGGCTTTGGCCGCTTCAGTTTCGACTTTTTCTTCTTTTTTGGTGCGCTTGTCGGCCTTCTGGCGGACTCTTTCTTTCTCTCCACCACAGGTACGGCCATGGCACGTTTCTTGAACGCCGCCTTCTGATGAAGCAGCTCGGGATCCATGGTTCCTCCAAATATACTTGGCAACGAGCAACGAGTCTCTAATTGGAGCCAACCACAATTCCAAATAAAGCGCATCCGCGGAAAGATCAAGGTTTCGCCCCACTTACACAGCCTACGCCACTGTGGCTTTGCTTCATCACTCCCTCCACTCTACTACATCTTCACGTAAGGTGCGGTCGACCGTAAAGCCTGCAAACTAGTGTTTTAGACGGAAAGCTCCTCATTTTGCGTTGCGGCGGTGTTCTTGCGGGATGTCTTCCACGGACCTAGACGGAGCCGTGGCCGCCAAGAACGAAGGAAACGACCACTTCAAGCAACAGAACTACACCGAGGCCACAAAGTGCTACAGTCGAGCCCTCTCCCTCTGTCCCCCACCTCACCCCCAGGCAGCAGTGTTCCTCAAGAACCGTGCTCAGTGCTGGATCAACCTCCACGCCTACGACAAGGCAGTGTCCGACTGTGCCGCTGCCCTGCAGATCTCTCCCAGCGACATCAAGACACTCTACCGCCACTCACAGGCACTCGAGAAGACGGGGAAGATGGTGGAGGCATTTCGACAAGTCCAGGTTCTCCTGAGAATCGACCCCAAGAAAAAAGAGGCAGTTCAGATGGCTCGAAGACTGACCGTGGAGCTAAAGAAGCAGGCAGAGTCAATGCAGTCGACTGACAGAATGGTCCAAGAAATGTTGGCAGCTCTCTCCACGCCAGCCACGCCACTGGAGAAACAGGTCAAGGCTGCCAAGAATCTTGCTATCCTCAGTCGCGAGGTGGCCGGCGCCGAGAAAATCTTTGCTGCCGGAGGTGCAACAAAATTGATGGGTATTTTAGAGAGCTCGAGCTCTCCAGATCTCCTGAACCACACCCTGCAGACACTGGCAGGGCTGTGTTTGGGGCACAGGGCAAGGGCTCACGCAGTGCTCCAGACCGTGTCACTAGAGAGACTGTCCACTCTCATGGCTTCTGCAAACAGCTCTGTGACTTCTTCGGCTGTTTCGATCCTCAAACACGCAATGCTCGCCACGACAGGGGAGGACACTCGCAGTCCCCCTCACCCCGAATCAGCTCTAGTCACAGCCGACACTGCAGTTGTTGTTCCCGTCATCCAGATGCTCCTCCTCTCCCTCGTCAGTCGAGAAATATCCGCAGACGCCAGGGACTTCATCGTGGAGCTCCTCCTGCGAACGCTACCGCAGGCAAATCTCGGAGAGATATTCCTGAGGGAGGGATTAGTGGCCCGACTTCTCGTGTTGGCCACCGAGACAAGCGGAGTGAAGGAAGGAGTCGTCGTCAGGATGAGCTCCGACTGTCACATGAACGTCTCCATCGCACTATCCACCCTCCACGCTGCTCTCGGGAACGACAAACAGAAGAAGAAGGAGCTGCAGGAAAAGTTCTGCAGCAATGCGACGGGGTTTGTGCTGGGTCTCCTGTCAGAGGAGGAGCCCAGGGAGCCAGATCTGTGGGCTGACGGCCCTCGCTGCCCTCATCCAGGGTGTACCGGAGGCCGGCAACGCTGTGTTTGGGGAGGAGTCCGTGCTGAAGAAAGCGTTGAGGGTTGCAGCTTCGGAGGATGTGGGGTGTCAGATGGTGGTGGCCGAGGTGTTGGCTCTCGCTGCGTCGGACAAGGCTCGTTGTCACGGGGATAATCAGGGAGGGACTCCCCGTTCTCAAGGAGCTGTACAAGGCCGAGGATGATAGGGTCAAGGTGCGAGCATTGGTCGGGCTCTGCAAGCTGGGGTCTGTCGGAGGAAGCGACGTGAATGCCAGGACCTTTGCAGAAGGGTCCACCGTGAAGCTGGAGAACGCTTGTCGGCGGTTTCTGGTTGACACGGAGAGAGGCGACATACTGCGCAAGTGGGCAGCAGAAGGAATGGCGTTCCTGACTCTCGACGCAACTGTTAAGGAGGCTCTAATTGGAGATACTCCAGCTCTCACTGCTCTCCTGGAGCTGGCAAAGACCCCCGACAGCTCACTGCAATTTGGAGTGTCGACCATCCTGGTCAACCTCACCAACAGCTACGAGAAACCCGAGAGAGATGAAGAACTGGAGGAACTCGGTCGCTACGCGGGGGAGAATATACCCAAGGAGCACGAGTGGGATGGGGAGGAGTTTGTGAAGAAGAGGGTAAAGATTCTGCTGGAGGTGAAAGTGGTTGTGATACTCCTCGAGTTGGCTGGCAACAAGAGCACCACCGTCCACGAGCAGGTGTCACGGGTGTTTCTCGCTCTGACAAACGAGGTCGATAATCGAGGGGCTGTCATCCAGCAGGGGGGAGCCAAGGCCCTGCTTGGTCTGGCCACTGACAACACGGCGAAAGGGAAGTTTATCGCTGCACAGGCTCTGGCGAAACTAGGAATAACCAGCGACCCTAGACTGGCGTTCCCAGGGCAGCGGTCTCTGGAGGTGGTGCGACCGCTTGTCTCTCTCCTCACTGCCGAGCAGGGGCTGATGCAGTTCGAGGGCCTGATGGCTCTGACCAACCTTGCCTCCATGAACGACGACGTGAGGAGACGGATCCTCAAGGAGGGTGGCGTGGGGCACATGGAGTCTCTAATGTTCGAAGAGCACGAGCTCATCCGACGTGCCGCGACCGAAGCTCTCTGCAACATGATCTGCCTCCCCGAGGTGGCTGCGAGGTTCCATCGCAGCGACGACATTGAGCGAGTGAAACTCTGGACTCTATTCTCCGGGGAAGAAGATGAGAAACTGGCCATCGCTGCGGCTGGCGGTCTCTCCGTCTTGTCTCGAGACCCCAAGGTCTGCGAACAGATCCTGGCTGTCAAGTCGGCAATAGAGATCCTGAAGGAGCTGGTGACCAGTGGGTCGGAGGAGCTCCAGTTCAGAGGACTGTACCTGGTGGCCAATCTGGTGGAGTCCAGCAGGGAGGCAGCGGAGAAGGTGATGGAGGGAGAACTGATGGACGTGTGCACCGCGTATTCTCAGGGGGATTTCCCTGCCAGACTGAAGGAGGCCGCGCAGCGAGCGCTGACAAGGCAATCGAGTACGGAGTCATCCAACAAAACCCTGAACTAGCTCGTGAATAAACTGCTGTTTCTGCCATTAGTCACTCACTCTTTTTCTTACTGTGTATGTATGTAGCTATTACAATTGTGTCATTTGCTGTCAGATTGTCACTTTTTCTTAGACTTGTGGTCAGACAAGGCCTCGAGCTGGGAGATCTTGTCTGTCATCCTTCTCTCATGTTCACTCATCTTCTGCTCCACTGATACCTGCATCATTTACAGTATTTCCTGTGATGTAATGGTGACATCATTAGAACCTTTAGTTGTTTGAGATGTGTAGTGAGGGTGGAGGTGATGATATTTCTCAGTCTCTCTTGCTGTGGGTCTGCGGCCTCCTTATCTCTCTCTTCTTCCTCTTCCTTCCCATCCGTGTCCTCTCTCTCTTCTCTCTCATCCTCCTCTGCCTCTGCTGTATAATATAGAAACCAACTGTTTGGGTATGGTCCAAATTACCTCATAAGGAATGGAAGGCACACTAACCATGCTTTAATCTTTAGTAATAGCTAGGGACTGCTGTGCAAATAATAACTGGAGTCACTGTGGACTAAAATCTTACTTGGAGCACTTCCTTCTGCTGCAACTTCTTCCTCTGCCCCTTCCTCCTCAGGCTCTCCACTGTACTGAAACGATAGGCTCAGCAGCACCCTCTCGGTGAAGGCAAACTTGTACATCTTGAAGTGTTTGAAGTAAGTGGATAGTACGTAGTCTGTGATCGCCTTCACCTGCGACAGAGAGTACAGACACTTGCTAAACGGCGGCCGTTGAACGCAGTGTCTCAGCAGAAGTTCTCTGAAAAACACGAACGTCTCCTGGAAATTGTCATACGGCGTCGATACACACATGCGGTGGACGGACTTTAGTATGGTGAAGAAGGCAGACAGTTGCTCCTGCGAAAACTGGTTCTTCTTGCAAAAGAGGACTGCGTAGGTGAACATGTCGAGCTCGATCGCCACCTGTTTTCTCGCCTTTCATCGTTCCCTTCTTGGACAGCAACGCTACCAGATGAGTCTGCAGTCTCTCTGAGTCCCCTGACAGCTCCAGGAGTGTCTCGGCATCGCTGAAGGAGACGTCTTCCCAACTACACACCCGCACAGTTCCAGCCATGCTTACCGGTCCCTATGGCAACAGCTGTTCGTTCCAATTGGAGCGCACCGAGGATTGTTCCATTTGAAGCGCACCATAGGGAGAAGTTCGCTGCGCAGGGATGGATTTGACGGGATTTTTGTTCGGGAACGTGAACGAGGATGGAGAGTTGGAGGATGAGTCAGTCCTGGATAAGGTGTGTTCTTTGTAAAGACCGGCTCTGTGGCGATATTGAAAGGTGTGTGTGATTGCAGGAGACTGTGATGCAGCTGTCAAGAATGGGCATGGGGGCGGGGTTTAGTGATTTGGTGGAGGGAGGAACTGTGGGGGTGGGAGGAGGGGACGACGGAGATAGCTCCGAGGAATATGACAGTGACGTTGACACCGGAGGAGGTAAGGCAGAAGCATCGGAAGCCTCTGAAAGTGTCTCCTACTCACTGGCTGCTGTCATGGCTGCAGGTATTGCTACTGACAAGTCCCCCACAGCAAAGGACTTTGCAGACATTGCAGAACTGGCGGAGGAGGCGGAGGGAGCCACGCCCCTCTCATCTCAGATGGAACGACAGGGGTTTGGGGAGGGAGAGGGGAGAGACGCTCTCTTCCGGAAGGGAATGGCTTTTGCTCGGTCCCTGCCTGGTGGGAGTGGTCTGTCTGCTGTTTCCATGGAAACTGACGACTATGACGATGACTCTGAGGAAGTTCCCGGCAGTCAACCGTTGCCTAGCAACACGAACGAGGAGGAGCTTCCCCTCTCCCAGCAGCCTGACTCGGGCTACGAGTCTCTTCCTCTTTCTGACCCCGCCTCCTCTCTCGACCCCTCAGACCACACCCCTCAAGTTACTGCTGCATCAGAAGCCACACCCACCTCATTATCAAAGCTGGAGGGGGAGGAAGGAGGCAGGGAGGGTGGGAATATAGAGTCTGCTATTCCTTACCTCATCCCAAAAGACATGACATTGGAACAGCTTCATGCCAAGGTACATACACACACATACACTCTAGTATACTGTGGAGAGATCCATAGACACCAACTCTGATTTTGTTCTGGGCCAAAGTTGCTAGTGTATTGCCTTTTAAACCAATTCTGGTTACAAATCCTTCGTCTCCCTTTCCATCCCCATGAAAATTAATTTTCTTCCCCCCGACATGTGACCGACTGACTGAGTGCAGGTGAAGCAGCTGTTCCCAGGGTTTGTTCCCAACTCAGTCCTGCGGTTCTGCAGCCTCCTGGGTCCTCCCAAGATCTCCGTGGCTGCCAAACTGTGGGCCGGGGCCAAGAGACCTGCCAAGAAGCCCCCCAGAACTGAAGAGTTCACGTGGAAGTTTGACTTTGGCCCTCCACCTCCTCCAGACAAGCTCCTGGACAGTGATGAGGTAAATTTGAATGAGCAAGTCATCTCCAGTGTGTTCTTTAATTCAGAGAAGTCCCTTGTTCGGAGGCTATAATGTGTTACATACAGTATAGGGTATCTCCATATGCACTTTTTATTTCTCGTTCTCTCTCTACAGAAATCATTTCTGGCGTCGGAGCACACAAAGGGAGCGGCTGCAGAGTCTGATTCCCATACTGCCGGGTCCTCATTCCAGGTCGACCCCGAGACGCAGGCATGGAGGTTCGGACCTGCCCGCATGTGGTACGATTCTCTCGGTCTTCCGGAGGATGGGCGGGGCCTCGACTACGGCTTCAAATTGAAGGTGTGAGCTGTACATACACCTGTATATGTAACTGATCGTAACACTGCATAATTCATGGTAACACCGCATACAGTACAGGCCAAGATACACGGCACAATTCATTGCGTAAGAGTATAGTCCATGAAGCAAGTTGTGTGCCAACACTGTTTTTCATTGACCCATCATACACACAATCACTAACCTCAGGCTCCAGCTGGTGATGGGGTGTCTGAGGATGAAGGGGTGGCCCCTTCATTAGAGGGAGACAGCGAGGTGCACGATGACGCATTCCTGATGGTGTCTCAGTTGCCGTGGGAGAATCAGATAATGTGGGACTGTCCCTACACCCCTGGACCACACGTCACAAGTGTTGGTGTGCCTCTCTAGCTCTCTCTCTTCTCTCAATTCTCTCTAGCTCTCTCTCTCTTCTCTCAGTTCTCTCTAGCTCTCTCTCTTCTCTCAGTTCTCTCTAGCTCTACTCTCTTCTCTCAGTTCTCTCTAGCTCTCTCTCTTCTCTCAGTTCTCTCTAGCTCTCTATCTCTTCTCACCTTTCCTCTGTGAGTGACTGCACTCCCACCATGTTCAGGTGGAGTATGGACAACAGAGTCGGCACACAATCTCTCCCGGCAACCAACTGACCACACCTCCTCGTTATTCCCCATTAATGATCCCGCCCTCACTCGTTATCGCTGGGAGGATGACATCATCTGGGACAGCGATGCCGTCACTCGCATACCCCACCCCAGTATACCCCAACTGGACCCAAATGACCCCAATATCATTCTGGGGTACCCCGAAGAGCTCACCTCCTCCGCCACCCCAGAGAAAGAGGGGAAGAAGGTGAGAGAGAGAGAAACACAGAGCTTCTAGTGGTCCCTAAGTCAATGATTTATATTTTGCAATTTTGAAGCGTTACACGTTTTGTGAGTATTATAATAATTTGCATTTCATTACGTTTGCGAGGCAAGCTGAAGATTGCGTAATTAGGAGAGGAAGTTCAAACATTTCACATGGTAATAAATTTTGCAAATTCTGCAATTCCCCATTCCCTGTCAGGAGGGAAGACCGAAGGCCAAGCTGTCTCTGGGGAAGGGTGGAGGGAAGGGTTCCGAGCCTTCGCAGACTTCGTTCCTCGGGAAAAAAGATCTGTTCAACTTGTCAAACGATGAATTCTACAACCCTCGCCACGTGAGCAGCACGCAGGGTCTGTCAGGACTGGTCTCTAGTGTGGTGCAGCACTCGCTGCCGGCTCTGGACCTCCACTGCCTGTGGTTCCCCACTCACCTCTCCCTCCACAGCCCTCCGGCACTACCACCGGCCCAGACTGAGGCTCCGCTGTGACAGCAGACGAGGCAGCACTGGCCCCTGACCGTGGAGGGGCTGGTCGGGCACATCGCTCTCAAGAACAAGGTTTCAACCCCTCCAATACTGTTAATGCTTGTTCTGATGTACATTGTAGGCATGCAGATTTTGATGTGGGTTTTATGTCATCGTAGGATGTTACATTAAGTTGTTCCATTTTCCCCAAAATCAGAATAGTGTTTGGTCCAATAAAAACAGGTTCGTTGTTCCCCTGCTGGTTGTAGGAGAGAGAGAAGGAGAGGGAGAGCAGTGGAGGAGGAGAGGTCTTCTTCATGAGGACCCCGGAGGATCTGAGTGCCTGTGACGGGGAGCTGGTCCTGGCAGAGTACTGTGAACAACATCCTCCTCTCCTCACCTGCAACGGGATGGCCACTCGCGTCAAAAACTACTACCGAAGACCTGAGGTATACACATACGTACTGTGGAACCTACAAATTAAGAAATCCTCTCCATAAAGGACACTTGGATCTGCCCTAGTCCTCATCATCCCACCTCTACCAGTGACCTCTCTCTCTCTCTCTCCTCACAGAGACAGGTGAAGAGCCACGCCCCCAGAATCAAGTACGGGGAGACGACGTATGTCCAGAGCTCCTCCTACTTCCTCGGGGAGCTCCACTCGGGCCAGCTGCTGCAGAGCTTCGAGTCCAACCTCTTCAGAGCACCAGTTAGTCTCTCATGGACCACTGTACTGCTGTATGTACTGTGTACTTAAAGAACGTTTATCCCTTGACAGCCATACACAAAGGCAATGAACTTCTGTAAGTGAGGCCAATTCGTACATGCAATCGCACGAGAAACACTGACAGCGAAATTCTTAGAATCACTGAATTTTTACATCTTTAGTCGTCTCTCGTGACAAAACCTGTACTCCTCTCTCCTGCGTGGCAGGTGTACCAGCACAGCATGGCAGAGGCGGACCTCCTGATCATCATCTCTGGGAGTCAGGTGTTTGTCAGAGAGGTGAAGACGGTGTTTCTGGTGGGACAGGAGTGTCCAAAGATCGAGGTCCCCCCGCCCACCTCCAAGACCGCCATGCAGTTCCAGAAAGACTTCTTACTGGTACGACAACACACACCAGACCCCCTGCCTATTGCAGGAATAACCGAATGCCACTAGAGAGTGTTCTCTCTGCTGCAGCTGTTTCTGTACAAGTTGTTCCGAGAGAGTGACGATGTCCCTCCCAGGATAAAGATGGACGCCGTCCGCAAGGCTTTCCCTCCGGCGGCCATGTCAGAGAGCGTAATCAGAAAGGTTCTGAAGCTGTGCGCCGACTTCAAGAGAGAAGGTACGCCAATCTTCTCAAATGACTGTGATATATCACTTGTTGACTGGTGTCTTGTTGCCACGGGGAGGATTGCTACATGTAAAACTCCCCTGTCATGGGAGTACGAAGTGTAATAGGATTCCTCTGATTGACCAATCAGATTTCAGAAGTCACTAAGTCACTTATGTCCACTATATATAATATGCAGGGTATGAGAATGGTTGGTGGGTCCTCAGGTCTGACTGCAGGGTTCCATCTGATGAGGAGATACGCTCCATGATATCCCCTGAACAGGTCTGCGCTTACTACAGCATGCTCGTCTCAGAGCAGAGGTTAAAGGTCAGTGCTCTGGGTCATGTGACAGTCACATGATAGGAGGCGTCTCCACAGGATGCTGGGTACAGAGGCAAGAGTTTGTTTACAGTTGAAGAGGAGGAAGAGGATTCCTCACAGAAGATTGATGATGAGGTGAGGTCATGTGACTGTCATGTGACTCCTTGGTGATGTCATGAGACTAGGTCAGGGCAGCTCCGTGGAACACCACTCATCATTTCATCAACGCCATGAAGGGAAAGTACCAGCTGTCCATTACTGGACCGGCCGACCCGACTGGATGTGGCGAGGGCTTCTCGTACACCAGACTCAACACTAGGGTATGTGGGGCGACCAGTTTCCCAATGGGACGACCCATTTCACAATGGAACTGGTGTCGCACTCCAGAGAGAGACTGGTGGAGGGCTGGCGGCCAACAAGCGCTACAAACCAGTGGTGGGAACAGACGGAGACCTGAGGAAACTGAAACTGAGCAAAGCCAAGCAAGTCCTGAGGAACTTTGGAGTCCCTGAGGAAGAAGTATGCTCTCTTTTCTCCCTCTCTTTCTCTCTTCTCTTTTCTTCTTTCTTCTCATTTTGTTGGCTATGTCCCTTTTCCTTCTTCTATATACACATGTCTCTCATGTCTCTCCCCTGGCAATGTCGCCCAGATCTCCAAGCTGTCCAGATGGGCAGTCATTGACATGGTCAGGGAACTCTCTACTGAGGCTGCCAGATCTGGAGGTGGTAAGCCATGGTTTGAGAATGACATTACACATACATATGTGAATATGCTAGAAAAGTGAGCATTATTATTCCATACTCCAACTATAGTCAAAGTATTACTGACTGTTAGTTTATTTTTTCTTAAACTCGCGTTCCTACAAGAAATGCAAAACCATTGACACCCTTATTCAGTGTGGGTCGGCAGATGAAGGGAAAACGAAATAGTGCTGAAATACGGATTACGTACAGCGAGATAGAGATGAGATAGTATACTAGGTCCTATTCAAACTACTTGTGTTTGACTCATCTTCCTCGACCCACTCCAGTTGACCGCCATAACCTCAAGTTTGCGAGGGGTCCCAAAGTTCTCTCAGATGGAGGCACAGGAGAAGTACAAGGAGAACTGCCAGCGAGTTTTTGACCTTCAGAACAAGTGAGTGGGGATCACATGACATCATGTGACTAAAGAGTGACATCACATTTTGGTCATGTGACTCCAGGGTCCTGTCGTCGGGGGAGCAGCTGTCAACTGACGAGGAGAGCAGTGACAGTGGAGGGGAGGGAGGGAGTGATGACGAGCTGGCCAGGAACCTGGAGACTCTGCTGGGGGGCAGGAAGACGGCCAGGCAGTTCAGCCATGAGCAGGAGGAACTGCAGCGAATGGACCTGAGGAAACTGCTCGATAAGCCCGTGAGTAATGTCAGAGAGGGTTGATGTTTCAGTAGAAGAGGGGTTAGCATGATCTTAGAATATTGCAGAGAAGAGTTGAAATGGCCATAGTCAGAGAGGGGTTAATGTGGTTGTAGTCACAGAGGGGTTAATATTATCTTGCAGCCGGGCCAGATGAAGACAGAGGAGACAGGAGAAGGATCCGGAAGAGGTAAGGAGATGATGTCATCATGATGTAAATGATTATGATGTAATCAAATACTGCAGCAACACCGTTGGACGCTGACGAGACGTCGTCTCTCAAGAGTTTCTCGTCCGCAGCTGGAGTAAGCCACACCCACTGGGCGGAGCAACCTAATTACACTATCTCTCTCGCCAGGCGGGAAGAAGACTGGTAATAATGAGAACCTTTGTCTCAGAGAACGGGACGGAGTACACCAGAACTGAGGTCGTCAAGAGCCAGCCGGTCATCGACGCCTACGTGCGACTCATGGGTCACGGTATGGGACGTCCAGTTTGGCGATGGCGGTCCCATCTGTGGATTGGTCGGTCCCTGCAGGCGGGAAGGAGGTGAGGAGTCAGTTGGTGGGCCAGGACCAGCAGACGAGGGAGGACATGAAGAGGGAGAAGAGGAGGATCCAGGACCAGCTCCGCAGACTCAGGAGGCAGGAGGAGAAGGGAGTCAAGAAGAAGACAAAGACTCAGAAACCAAAACCACTCACCACCATCAACGTAAGCTCCTCAAACCCCTCAGCTATGTACTGTACATAATATGTACAACTTTTATCCATGGAAAAGGACCTTCACTGTTGTAGGCATGGGTTAAATGACTCATTATAAATCATAATCTGTGAAAATGGTTTCTCTTGCACTTTTGAACTGCAAAATTTGTGGTCTGATGTCTCATCATGTCTGTACGTGTTCTCCGCCAGATGAAGTGCAGTGCGTGTGGGGGGAGGGGCCACATGAAGACCAACAAGAACTGTCCCATGTACAAGAACACGTCTGTGACTGTGGCTCCCACAGACAGCGACCTGGCCCAGCAGGAGGCCTCGCTCACTCACGACGACCTCATCAAGGTGGAGGGGACAAAGGTCGTGCTGAACAGAGCTCTCGTTGAGCATGCCACTGGCGTGAGGAAGGCCTCGCTGCTCCTCAAGTTCCCAAAGGTGAGAGAGAGACAGAGACGTTTGCCACAATGCAGCAATGATCTATCGATTACATTTGGGAAGATTTTCTTTGAAGAAGACATGACGATATTTCGTAAAAGTGCAGAACAGGTTTTTGTGCAAAATTCACCCAATTTGTATGAGATTTGCTGGCGGTGTTCTATTTGACCCCGTACATTGTTCCTGGCTCTCAATTTGTTGTTGTTGTGGTCATTTCCCGGATTCTGCATTGTCCCCCAGGACCGCATGAAGAGGAGGAGGAGGCAGACAGAGGAAGACCTGGAGTACCTGGAGAAGAGACCAAAGTCGGTTCAGAGGAGGAAGGCCAATCCTGAGCTGAGACTGGCTGATCTTCTGGAGAGAATCATCAACACCATCTCCGCCACTCACGAGGTACTAGATGTCTAATTATCACTCTGTTCTGGTGAATGTTGATGGTCTGTTCTGCTGCGGATTTCTGCAAGTAAGCACTGCGGCCTTTTTCAGTGGATGTTGTGTTCTCCTGCGCTCAGGCTTAAAAACTCTTAACACAAAATTGAGGGATGTATGATAAGATGGCTAAAGTAGAAATCTAGTACAGAGTGGTTGATTTCCACAGAGTGAGGCGTTCCGTAAACCAGTGCCAGCTAAAGTGGTTCCTGACTATTACAACGTCATAAAGTTCCCAATGGACCTTCAAACTATGAAGGAGGTTGGTCGAATCGTGATGATGTCGTTACGATGTAATGGCGTGTTTATTTATAGAACTGTCGTAATCATGTGTACATGACGAGGGAGGCGTTCTGGGAGCACATGAACCTCGTAGTCAACAACTGCAGTACTTACAACGGTACTAGTGTGATAGTCACATGACTCTTGAGGCTGATCATGTGATCATCATGTGACAGGGTTCAAGTCGGAGCTGACACGGAGAGCTCAGAAGATGCTCGACATGTGTGCAGAGGAAGTGAAAAAAGTAAAGACTCTTCATCATTCCCTTTTTTCTTTCGTTTCCGACAACTATTGCAAAATGTCTCTCCCCCTGTGCCCTGGTGTTCTCTGCTGGCAGTATGAGAAGGAGCTGGAGCAGCTGGAAGTGGAGATAAACCCAGCGCTGGCAGATGATCCGCAGGTCGCTCTCTCCTATCTCTTCACCAAGGCCGTCGAGACCATGAAATCATCCCCTGAGGTCTGCCTCTGGTTCACCAAGAATACTTACACTGCTTTGTTAATCTTTTGTCACAAAAGTTTATCTTGACGATTGTTGTGTTGTTGTTGTTGTATGCAGACGTGGATGTTCCATGACCCGGTGCCTGCCAAGAACATTCCTGACTACTACAAGGTCATTCGCTGCCCCATGGACCTTGGCACCATGACAAAGGCAAGCCACACCCACACTCATTGTCAACAAGACTTGCGTTCAGTTTATAACCACTCTGGCACTTTAGCAATGCTTGATCAGTTTATCGCAAAGACATTGTCATTTTTTCACGCATTTTACATCAATTAACCTATCTACTTCTTTGCAAAATATTTTGACCCTCACAAAAATTTCCTTCCCGAATTTCTGTGTTTACCTTGTCTCTCCCACCCACAGAAGTGTCGGCAGAGAATGTACCGGAGTCGAGCTGCCTTCATGACCGACCTGAACCAGATACGAGAGAACAGTCTCACCTACAATGGACCTCGCTCCAAGATCACTGCCACTGCTGAGACCATGGTCGCCATGGGAACCAAGGCTCTTGATGAGGTGGGTGGAGCTTCTGTCATCATGAATACAATAGTAAACATTATGATTGCAGGGGGCGGAGCTGATTAGTCAGTTGGAGAGGAAATTGGAGGATATTGTTGGTCCCAACTCCCCAGCAGCCTCGAGTTCTGCTCGTGCCGACATCCTCAGCTTGTGTCAGGGAGGGAGTGAGGGTGTGGGGGTGGGAGGAGGGGAAGAGGGAGAAGTGGATGTGGAGCAATGGGATGAGGGGGACAGTAGAGGTGTGGAGTTGGAGCCATGGGTGGAGGGAGTAGATCTGTTACTGGAGGATCTGCAAGCCTCTAGCAACAGTGAGGATGACAGTAGTGACGATGAAGACTGACTTTTTCAATTTCACACTGTATATATCACCACCTCCGAAATCAACCAATCATCTTCGTAAATAATAATTTGCAGCAAAGTGTTTTGTTGGCTGATTAGTCTGCATCATGTGACAATACAAGAAACATCTGCCGAGCTATGACCTCTCAGACAGAGAGTGAACTCTGACCTCCCCAATGTGGTAGGAGAGGTATGCCATTCTGGTGTCCCATTCTGGTTCCTGCAATATGGAATGGAGCCAGTCATCTGAACCACAGCCACAAAACTGATATTGTACCTGGTGATCATGAGGTGGTGGCTGAGGTCTCTGGACATTGTTTCCAGTGTATGCCACGCCACGCTGATGATGTCATAGTGGGTAATGATCACGTTAATGAAGGGACCCACCAGATGCCATTCTCCAGTGTCGTCATTCCATGTGGAATGGGAATGGATCAGCTGCTGGTACTGGTCTGGGACGTAGGCGTCGATGACCAGCTGGTGCAGCCTCACCTCTCGACTCAGTTCCCTCACTGTCTCCTCCATCGCCTGCCTCTCCTGCTCAAAGTCTGCCCTCTGGTTGGACAACTGAGAAAGAAAGAATTCACAAAAGTTGGGAGCGACATACGGGAAAGATGAAAGATGTGGGAGTGAGATAGGAGGAAAATTTGGAGCAAGAAAAGGAGTAAAACAAGAAACTTTGGAGCGAGCTAAGGGGAAAATAGGAAGGTGGGAGTGAGGTACTGTAGATAGGGGAACAAACCTCTTCCCTGGTCCTCTGGACCTCTCTCCAGACCTCCTTCAATCTAGTTTTCTTTGCCGCAGCCTCATCCTGTAGAGTGGCATACTTCTCCTCCATATCCACCCTCTCCGCCTCCTTCCTGTACAATGACTCAGTAAACACTGAACTCGGTTGTCTGTAAACTACTGTATACTCCAAGTATACTGACCTCTGTTGTCAGTATAATCCGAGTATACTGACCTTTGCAGCTTTCTGGTGAGTTTGGCTTCTTTCTTCTTCCTCTTCTCCAGTTCTCTGGCCGACTGCTCGAGGAGCCTCTGCTGAGTCTCCGCCTTCTCCAGGAGGTTGACTCCGCCCACTATCACCTTGGACGACAGGTCCTTCAGTTTCCTCTCCATCTCTGCATGCTGCTCTCTGTTATACACATTACATCATCACAACTTCAATGACGTATCATGCCTAACATTTCTTCCAAAAGGCACCAGTTTGTTAAATGGAAAACTAGTTGCATTTGTCTCATGCTATAAAAGTTACTGGACATCCTACTATGTGGTGTGGTTGATGGATTATATTAGGTTGTGAAGGTGGTAGCATAATAAACATTGCTTATAGTCACATCTAGAGAGAGAGCTCACTGGGCCTTGGCCAGCTCCTCCTCCTTCCTCTCCAGCTCTCGACGGGTGGAGTCTCTCTCCCCTTCGGCAAGTCCCGTCTTCTTCAGAAGTTCTGCCCTCTCTCTCTCCAGCTGGACTCTGACCTTGGCTGCGGATCTTGGTGATATCCCTGCACTACCTGTCATCGTCAAATCCTAGTGCTACGAGATTGGATCTCTCTCACTGACTTACTTGTCCTCTCTTCTTCTCTTCTTCCTCTTTCCCCTCTGACCCTCCTCTCCCTCCCCTTCCTCCCCACCACTGCCTTCTTCCAACTGTCTCTTCAACTCTTCAATCTCTTTCTGAAACTCTCTCAACATGGCCTCCTTTGGATCCTCATTGATTCGAGCCTTGTTCTGAATATTCTTAGCCCTACATCAGCAGAAGTGATGCATTGGAGTCACGTTTTACGATATCATTTTGCAGAATCCCTGGCAGCACTATTGTGATGGTTTCTTATGCTAGCAAACTTCCAGAAGGTCTGAATTATGTAGATACAGATGAATGTAGTACCTGTTGGCATATCTCAGCGTGTTGAGCGTCTCGTCCCAGTTGTAGCTGGCTGGACCAATATTTGCAATCTGGGGACACAGGGGTGATGTAATCAGAGCCTCGTTAACCTCGTTAACCCAGGGGCCTCCCCTCCCCACTCACCATGACTGTCTTTGAGTTCCCTCCCAGAGAGTCTTGGAGAAGGAGGGTGAGTTTCGAGTTGCGGTACGGGATGTGTTTGCTCTTCCCGTCCACCAGTTGAGAGATGACGTTTCCCAGCATCATGAGGGAGAGGTTGATTTTCATGGACTCCTTCAGTCTCTCTCCCTCCGCTCCCGTCTTGCTCTGCCTCTCCGAGCCCTGGACACAGGCAATAGAGAGAGGGGGGGGCCCCTCAATTTGGAGAGAACTTAGCAAATTGTAGAAACCCTTTGTTAAGGAAAAATGGGTAGACGTGCTACATGCATGCCATCGACAAATCAGGAGAAAGTTAGCCTACACAGATATTTTGTTGAGAAAAACCACATAATTTATTTATATTACTATAATCTCATCACAGAACTCACGGCAAGGTCAACAAGGTTCAGTTTTCCCATACGGACATGTGGCTCTCCGTCTGGACCCACGTCACTTCTCTCCACTGTTACTGAGAACACCACGTGAGACCTCGAGGAATGCTCGTTCATGTCTGTCACTGCAAAATGCCCTGCAGACGAGGGAGAGTGTTGGCCAGCACAGCTCTGCTACATGATACAAATGGCACATGGAACTTAAATGTGATATTCCCCGAAACAAGTTGCATAAAAATGAATGTTGTCTATTGCATGTGCAATTTTACATGTGATGTTTGCCTAGCTCACTGTTTCGATCTCCGATGGTCATCAGTTTCTCCATTTCGTCTGCATTCTTCACCACGAAACATGAGAGGTCCCTCACGGTGACTCCGACATCTGGTCTCACGTGGACCTCCAGTCTCTTTCTCACCGCCTTGCTCAGCAGATCTGATACCTCCTCATTGTACAGCTCCAGATATGACACTCGGACCAGGAACCTGGGAATGAGGGTATGAGGAATGGGTGTATGGGGTATTGAGAATGGGTGTATGGAGACATTTATGAAGAATGACTGACTGTGTTTCTCCCTGACAGGAGGCGATGTGTCCAAAGATGTGAGCGAAGGAGTTAGGAATGATTCCTCTCTTCTCTGGAGGCTCCTTCTCCCCCTGCATTGTGAACGTCTTTCCCGTCCCTGTCTGCCCGTAGGCAAATATTGTACCTGGCCACGCCCACACACAGAGGATCAGTAAACTAAGGGTGAGAGGTCCACTTACCATTGTACCCCTCCAGGACTGAATCCACTATGGGCCTCGCAGTCTCGTTGTAGATGTCCAGTTGCTGGGACTCCGGACCAAACACCGAGTCGAACACAAACGTCCTCGCCTGCTCTCCTCGCCGGTGAGAGCCCGCGGAGGTGGGCGGGGTCAGCACCACCTCACCTTGCTCAACATCGACACTCACCACCACACTGTGCCCCGCCTCTTTCTCCCCCGAGCTCAGCGGCCGGCAGCGAACTGCTACCTGCACGTTGTCAGACGATCCCTTCCCCGGTTCATCCGACATTCCTTTCTTGTCTTCTAGTCCAGAGAACACATGAGAAAACACTGATTGTTTATCAGGTGCTGTAGCAACAAGTTATTCGATTTGGAGAGCACCATAGCGTAGTACTAGTGCGCATGTGCAAAAATGGGTGTGGCTTGGCACGTGCACCCAAAAACTGCGGAGTGAGCTCGAAAATGGCAGCTACACCACCGGCTCGAAACCTCGCTCTTTCTGAGGACGAACAGGAAGAAGTGGAAGAAGAAAATCAGCCTCAAGTTCCAGCAATTTCCCCGCCCGTTGATGTGGAAGCTCTGGCCAAGACGATGACCAGTGTCCTGATCAGCGGTGGCAGCGAGGAGCCTCGCGGCTCGAGGGAAGAGATGCAGCTGTTCGAGGCCAAGGAGCACCCGGGAGAGGCCTTCGAGAGGATGCAGCAGATGAGAGAGGAGCAGAAACTCTGCGACGTGGTGCTGGAGGTCGGCGGGGAAGAAATCCTGGCGCACCGTCTCGTCCTGGCCGCTTCCTCCCAGTACTTCTCCTCCATGTTCGCCGGTGGCATGAGAGAGAGCCGACAAGAGAGAGTGGAGTTGAAGGAGGTGGAGGCTGGAGCCATGAAACTCCTGGTGGAGTTTGCCTACACCTGCAAGCTGGAGATCACGACACAGAACGTACAGTCAGTCATGATGGCCAGCTCAATATACTCCTTCCCCTCGGTGTTTGAGGCAGCAGCCAAGTTCCTCGAGTGTCAGCTTCACCCTTCCAACTGTCTGGGGATCAGGTCTTTTGCACGGACCTATGGCAGCACGCGACTAGTACAACTCGCATCCGAGTACTTCCAGAGCCATTTCATGGATGCAATCAAGAACGAGGAATTTCTCTCGCTCTCCGGAGATGACCTTGCCTGGTTACTGGACAGTGATGACGTGAACGTAAGGAGCGAAGAAGATGTTTACCGAGCGGTGGAGACGTGGCTGGGTGTCCGTACGGAAGAGAGAGTGCCTCATCTCCCGGCTCTCATTAGCGTTGTCCGTCTTCCTCTGCTCTCCACTTCCTTCCTCACCGAACAGGTCGAGGCAAACCCCTTTGTCAGAAAGAGCCTCAAATGCCGAGATTTTGTCGACGACGCCAAAAACTTTCACCTGATGCCAGAGAAATTCTGGCACCTGGAGGATCGGAGGTTCCACCCCCGCAAGTCGACCGTGGGGATGTTGTTTGCAGTGGGAGGAAGAGGCGCTATTGGAGAGCCTTTCAGCAGCGTAGAGTGTTATGACTTCAGGTGAGGCTGTCTGTTTGTAACATACCTACATGGTTGTAGTCATATCCAGCCCTGAGAAGTGTATTGTGTCTGTGTGTGTTTGCGGTACACCAACACTAGCCTGTCAGGTATGGACACAGGCAGGAGGCTGACATGTTTGTTGAGAAGTTTTTATTGCTTTTCTTTCCTTGTGAGGCCCACACTAACTACACACCCCCCATGTGTCCACAAAGTGAATGTTATCTGGTAGTTTATTCAGGACACTATAACCTAACAGGACGTGTTTCCCTCCCCGTCGTCTTGCAGGACAAATTCCTGGCATGAAGGACCGGAGCTGTGCTCACGGCGACGTCATGTGGGCGTGGCCTACCTGGACGGGAAGCTGTATGCAGTGGGCGGGCACGACGGTCATCAACATCTCAACTCAGTTGAATGCTACGACCCCAAGAAGGGGGTGTGGCAGTACGTGCAGCCAATGAAGACCCTCAGGAGAGGCATTGCTGTTGGAGCCATCGGAGGACCCATGTACGCTGTCGGTGAGGAGTAACTTTTGCACCACTCGCTTCTCTGAAATTAGATAATGCAGCTGTAGAATCAAGATTTGGTATTATTATTGGTTTTACTCTCTCTTGTAAACAACCAAGACAAAAGGCAACACCTCGTGAAATGTATGCTGTAAAATGAGGCCAGGCACAACAGCATGGAGTAAAAGAATACTGAATTATTGAGAAAAGCATTTTCAATATGCATTAGTGTGTCAGTTAGTCATTCACTCTACTGTGGGAGTGCCAGCTAAATGAATTAGTACATCTGTGTCGGCACATTGAGTTCATGTTTGGAATTTCCTGCACACTGTCTGTGTGGTGTGGCCAACCCACATTCAGGAGGACTGGATGACGTCAACTGCTACCGTACTGTGGAGAGGTACGACCCCCAGAGTGACGAGTGGACTGAGGTCTGCAGTCTCCGGTCCCCACGGGGCGGGGTGGGCGTGGCCCAGCTCGGCAAGTATCTGTATGCAGCGGGCGGGAATGACGGGAGTGCCTCCTTGCAGACTGTGGAGAGGTGAGGGGAGAGATGGTGGGCCTCTGCAATCAAACACACTGCGACAGTTGATCCATTACCTCGAGAAAGACATCTGAGCCAGTGCTTATGCACTTACAAAACTCATGCTAATCTGTTCAACAGTTAACTGGTGGTATCGACACATCCTTGTCAATAGCTTTTTGGCTGTGTTGGTATAAGAAAGATGTCACTAACAATATTCCCTCCTGGCCAACTCCAGGTATGATCCTCATGTTAACAAGTGGACCGAGGTGGCTCCCATGGCAAAGAGACGAGCGGGGGTGGGCGTGGTCGCTCTCAATGGCTATCTGTACGCAGTCGGAGGGTTTGACGATGCATCTCCACTGGACACAGTTGAGAGGTGGGGAGGAATGTTAATGAAACTCCTCCCACTATACATTCCCATTGTGTTTGCAACTGAGCTAGGTGTCGTTTTACAGAGCTTCTAATTTGTAGAATACCAAGTTACAGTCAATGTGTGTTTAATCTGAAGCTGTTGTTTATGTATATACATTCTCTCAAGTGTCCAGAATAACAATGCCTTCCCCCCTCTCTTCCCAGATACAACCCCAAGACCAATTCCTGGCAGTTCATGACCTCCATGCACGTCTGTCGCGGTGGTGTCGGTCTCTCTGCCGTCGGTGGCTACCTGTTTGCAGTGGGCGGGCACGATGGGAAGGCCTACCTTAACACTGCCGAGATATACTCCCCCAACTCCGACTCCTGGTCACCCATCGCCTCCATGGCAACCAGTCGAGCTGGGGCCGGCGTGATTGCCTTCCCCTTGCTCTCACTCAGTGGGGGGAGTGGCTCACACACTACCCCACCAGAGTCACTGGAGTCTCTGTAGCCACACCCCCTGTTGCCACGACTACTGTTTGTGTGCCCCACCATTTCCCCCCAGACTCCATCATCAGACGTTGTTGTCTTCAGTCATCTCTTGTGTGTCTGTCAGTTTTTTTCACCAGTCAAGCAGGTCATTCACCATTGTTCAAAATACTGTACATTTCCTTCTCTTCCGCTTGTTTCTATGTTGCTGTTCACATATCATCATAACCTACCTGTGCTTGCACAGAAGGTATATTTATAAAGAAAAGCAGGTTGCATTATCTGACTGAAAAAATGATGACATTTTAAGCATCTGTGTCAACTGGTGTCTCAGTTGGTGACTTTTTGCGTGATTCCATTCCGGTTCTGTCTCTGGCCATGAGAGGTCGAAGTGCAGTCTGCAGACTGGGGAACAGCCGTGGATACAGGACCTCCTGACTCGCCAGCAGCTGTTTCACCCTGTGTCGCTCCTAGCAACCACAATACTGATGACATCACTCTGACATAATTGATGTCAAACCTTTGGAGCCTCGAAACAGGCGGGGCAGTTCTCAGTGATGACAGGCAGGTGGGCGGAGTCAGCAAATGATCTCAGGTGAACCTCTCGCACATAGACAAAAGGTCTAATGACTCGAAGATCTCCCTCTCTGTGGAATGGGGAATGGAGGAATCATAACATGGGAATGGGGTATGGAGGAACCAGAACATGGGAACTGAGATGAGGTGTGGCAAAACTGGACTATAGAAATGGGAATGGAAGAATCAGAGCATGGGTATCTAGGAATCAGAAAATTGGAATGGGGGTATGGAGGAACCAGAACATGGGAATGGAACGTACTCGACTGTGTAGGCAGCCTTCATGGTTTGCAGGAGTCCATTGTGGAAGAGGGACATGAGAAAGCTCTCTGCCAGGTCGTCCAGGTGTTGACCCAGTGCCAAGACATTGTAGCCTTCTCTTCTGGCGGCGCTGTAGAGCCTGCCTCTCTTGAGTCTGGAGCAGAAACTGCAGATGGAGGTACAGTCGTCGCCCAGAGACACCGCCTTCTGGAGAATTCCTGCAGCATTCAATGAAAAGCACTAAAGTTCAAACCCTCGGCACACTCTATAGAAATGTGGAACCCATACACAAGTGTGGCACCACCACAATTGATGGTCTTGCATCTTATGCAAAAAAATGCCCAGCTCTATATCTGTTTGAGGGCAAAAAATATATAAGGTTGAAAAATTGCCAACCTTTCATCTCTCTATTAATTTTCGTATTACCCGTGGATTGTTTAGTGTAAAAAAAAATTTTTTTAACCCAAGGTTGAAAAAAACTTCAGCCAAAAAAACGGCCAGCCCTCCATCTCTCCAGACAGACGTCTACGGACGACGCAGTGCTATGCCGAACTGTACGCTGCCCTTTGAGAAACATGGGTCAGTGGTAGATTTGTGGGTAAGGGGAGGTACCAGAGCTGTTCCCAGCCAATGCTCTGGACCATCTGACATTTTAGTGCGGGATCGGGATACGAACCCCGCACCTATGGTGTCAGTCCCCACGACTCTAACCACCTAGCCACTCGGGCTGGCCTGGAGAGGTGATGAAAAAACGTTCCATATATACCAACACTCCTATTACATCATTGTAAAAAAGGCGCCATCGAACCAGGGACCTCACGATCAAGAGAGGGGGTGCGTATCCATCAGACCACCACCCATTACTTGATCGAATGGAACAGCAAAAGCACTGAAGTGCAAACCCTCGGCGCATTGTGACGCGCACGGGTAAGTAAACGCATGCGCCGTACCACTAATTGATGGGCTGGGTTTAGTTTTAGCTCTGTAATACTCGTGGTCTCTTGCCAGCTCGCGCAGAGTCTGACGCGGGCTAACTACACTACTAGAGAGGCGATACAAGCACACGCCCTGCGTTGCGTCTTCTGGTGCCTCCGAAGTACGCAGAGCACGCCGATCGATCCGAATGTTGTGTATTTGCATATTGGCTTTTTCGCGCTCTAGCTTTGCAACGGAGCAGTTTCAGAGAAAACCGTTCGAATTTTCTGACCTTCATTGCCCGTTAAGTAGATCGTGTCCTTTCTGAGACGAACAAACACCCGAGAAGTGAGATTGAGAGTAACAGACAGACACAGACAAACACCCAATGAAAAGCACTAAAGTGCAAACCCTCGGCGAAGTAGCTCGCAGAGAGTCTGACGCGGGCTAGCTACAGTTGTAGATAGCACGCGATAGTTACACGACACTCGTTGTGACTTCTTGTGCCTTCAAGATAGACAGAGCAAGCGGACCCGGTGTCGCGGTACATTTCATCCCCCCGAATTTTTATCCGGCCGGATAGGATATTCTATCCCCGGATAAAATTTCCTAGGATATTCTATCCGCACCCGGGATATTTTATACCCCGTGCTGTGCGTTATTAGGAGTGTCGAAACGCAGGCGGGGTGTGTTGTTTTGAGGTTCTGTGGGGATTTGAACGTTACAGAATGCGATGACAGCCTTGTTTGGAGTTACACCAGCGGACTGTAGAACACTACCGGATATCCCAGCGAGCGTGGGGCTCAGGTTGCAGGTGAATGCGAGCAGACCCGCGCAACCGCTGTGTCTCGAAGAGAAAGAGAGTGCAGTCGTGCAGATTCAACTCGGTATGCATGAGCAGCGACGGCGCCAACAAAATGGTCCCGCGCGTTTACAGAAACTTTTCTTATTAGAGGGATAAAATATCCGGACCCCGGATATTCCACACTAAGAGTATTCTATCCGGCCGGATAGAATATACTATCCACCGGATAAATTACACGGGGGATAAAATATACTGTGTGACACCGGTCCTGTGCTAAATATAAGCGCATGCGCATTAGGCCGCCAGCGATAAAATGGCGACTACAGGCATTTGCCATACAATGCTGGAAGCGCTCTAGCTTAGCAACGGAGCATTTTCAGAGAAAACCGTTCGAAATTTCTGACCTTCATTGCCGGTTAAGTAGGTTGTATCGTTTGTGAGACGAACAGACATTCGAGAAGTGAGATTGAGAGTAACAGACAGACAAACCCAACTACAGTACCCTCGCTGCGCATGCGCGCCGAGGGTAACTACAGTACCCTCGCTGCGCATGCGCGCCGAGGGTAACTACAGTAACCCTCGCTGCGCATGCGCGCCGAGGGTTTAACAACACCATGCAGCACACCACCATCGTCTACCATAATTATGGAGCTGGAAACTGGCACACTTAAACAGCAAACACATTTTTGCACACGGAACAATTCTATTCTGCAATTTTCTTCATCGTTTTTTATCCCAAGATTGAGGAATGTAAAAAGTAGCTCTAATAGCCTAGTGGCTGGTGTACACTGGATTAGACACCAGTCTCTAGATATAGTGTCACTGTACAAGATTGATGTCTACATTCTCACAACAGTCTCTGAGATGTAGGGCACTCACCTTGCTCCTCAAAGAAGTAAGGGAAGCCGAGAGCTGCCATGTAGGGGACAAGTGGGCGGGGATTGTAGGAGGCGGAGCCTGGATCCACGGTAACGGCTCCCAGGGTAAACCTGACTCCCCTGGCAGCGGAGAAGAAGCAGAACTGTCGTAGGGTGTGGAGGAGAGAGAGAGAGTCCTTTCCTCCCGACAGACACACGAGAACTCTGTCTCCATCTCGGATCATTCGGTACTCATCTATTGCCTGGCGGGGGTGGAGTAGGTGGGTGTGGATTCATCTGGTGCTAAAAAACTCCACCCACCTCGATAGTTGGTTTCATGATGTTCTTTGGAGGGAGATGGAATTTCAGTCTCCATTCCAGTCCACTGTTGGGGGTTGGAATGGAATCAGGACTGGTTGTCACACATTCTCCATTCAACTGTTCTTGTTTTGTCACACTGCCTGCATTAGCCACTCCTTCTTTATTTGTAGGATATCTTCGTGGAGTGAAAGGAGGTGTGGCAGGGGGTGTGGTCACTGCAGACGAGGCGAGATGACGTGCGGCCTCGCTAGGCAACAGAAACCATCGCAACCTCTCGACCTCTGGGTCCAGAAAAAGGGAGCTGTCGCCATGGCAGCCGGGCTCCACCTACACTGGTAACAAGGCAGTAACGAGAGGGACATCCCCTAACGAGGAGGCTCACTCTGTATGAGGAAGCGTATGAGAACTGCATGTCAGCTGCATCCAGTGCCTCCTGTGACAATGCAACAGCTCAAAATTTTCAAGGACAAAAAGTCACATGAGAGACTCATTCATCATGTACATGTTGTCAAAACTGAACCTGTAGTGAAGGTGGGGAGGAAGAGGGAGGAGAGGGAAAGGTCATGACCCCTGACTCATAGGAAATGGAGCTGAGCCACAGCCGATGCTGGGAGGGGTGGTCGTCACGGTGACGGAAAACCCCAGTCTCCGGGTTAAACCGATACTGCAAACAAGACATCAGAAAATACTTCAGACCATCCCTATATACTCCAGCTATAGTCAAAGCTTTCAGGATAGTTTGTTGGCCTTCAATGTCACTAAAAGTACGCACAATTTATGCCACCTCCATGTACAAAGTAATGATAATATGACAGTTCAGTGCACAAGGATGGTTGGCTGGAGACTGGCTCTATTATATACTTGTGGCAGTAGTTTCCAGGCATGTCTCGCTGTCATGGCAACAGCGGTGGTGATGTAATCAACAGCGGCACGGCTCATGAAGTAGGGGAGACTCAGTCGTGTGACGCCGGGTCTGAAGAATGGGGGAATGGGAATCAGACCCTGTGGGAGGTGGGTGTGGTCTGAGACCTGAGGATCTCTCTCTCGGAGTATTCGTGGTATCTCCTCAGGTGAGTTCTATCCAGTCGACTGCAGGACACACACACATCTCAGTAATGAATAAACATAATATCACAGAGTCGGTTTGTTCTATGAGCAAATAAACATTCCCTTCCACCCTTCGATTCCGTAGAATAATGTGTGATGCATTACCTGTCCTCCATGACTTGAGCCTCGTACCTCCGAGCCAGGTCTTCACTTATACCCAACAGAGCCTAGAGAACAGAGACCACACCCATAGCCACGCCCACCGAGCCACACCCTCTCACCTGACTGTAAGGCCCGGCACATGAACAGCCTCCTCTCGTCTGTATTCCAAACACGTCGTTCAGAACGGCACACACAAAGTTGTGGTGGAGGTAGCGTCCGCTGTCCCCATGCCGTACCAGGAATGAGAATATCGGGAGACGAGGAATGGAATGGGGTCCAACAACAATCAGCTGAGAATGAAACAACACAACGAGATTTATAGACACGTTTTCAAGCATGAGTGCGTACTAAATAATTATGTTGCTCTCTTGTATACAGTTCTCTACAATCCAGTGGGTTACCTGGGGGACCTGGCTCCATTCAAAGAGGACCCTCCTCACAGTCTCTCTCTCCCTGACAATGATCTCCTCACTACCCACCGCCTCTTTCAGCTGCACCACCAGACCAGCTCTGATTGACCCACAATTGCAGGAGTCCCCCCTTCCTCTCGCAGCTCTGCCTCCTTGAAGTAGCGGTGATCACTCGGTGTCACCTGTCAGGGGGGAAATATTACATCTCTAACGACACCCCTGAAACGAGGACACACGTGATTTCTACAAAACACCTTGAATCAAGGACACAGCTTCTCAAGGAAAACAAATAAAATACCTAAATACACAAGTATGGTCTGCAAAAACTATTATTTCAGCATTCTTCAAAACATGGAATGACTCGGTGAGTTTAACCCCTTAAAGTGCAGTGGTATAAAAAGAGGATTGGTGACTAACGAAAAAGACAGTTCCTCCGCCACACTGGCCGGGAGTGGAGTTGCGAAAGAGGTGTTTCTTTGCCACCAGGACTCCCGGGGTCTCTGGTCCTCCGACAAACTTGTGGACCGAGAAAAAGATGGCGTCTTTGTAGACCAGATCTCTGTCATGGCTGCATGGTGGTGGAGGGAGAGAGACAGTCACAGTGAAGAAAGAGAGGAAGGAAATGTGAAAGAGGTTGGCGTTTTACAGTGGAACCTCTGAAAAGGACCCTCAGAATCTTTATAGGACACTTGGTTCAACAAGGGGTAACTCTGAATAAAGGACACTTTTTAATGTCCCTGATTCACAAGTTTCACTGCACATAAGAAAGAGGTGGAGCTGACCCAAGAACCAGAGGGTTCATGTCAATCTTGACGTAGGGAGCAGCAGAGGCAAAGTCCCAGAGAGAGAGAGCTCTGTACTTGTGGAGGAGAGCAGAGAATGAGACTGTGTCTGTCAGGACTCCACTGATGTTGGAGGCTGCGTTCAGAGACCCTATCAACTGTCTACCACTCTTGCTGTAGAACTGTAGAACATAATGGTCTCTTCTACAGCTGTTTTTGGTGCATTCCAGCTCACCTGAAGTTTCTGTTCCAAGTCCGTAATGTCCACATTCCCTTCCGCGTCCTCCTTCAGCCACACAACCTGTGGAATGGAACAAAGACTGATATCAGAGAGAATGGAATGAAGACAGAGGCACTACCTCGGCCCCGACATCTCGCCATGGCAACAGATTGGAATGGTGTTCAAATGGACTCACAAACACAACCTGTACACAGACAGACAGAGAATTAAAATATGTGGCTTATTAGGAGGTGTGGTCATGTACGGGAGGTGGGTGTGGCTTGTTCCGAAGTCCCAGACAGTGGATCAGTTTGTGGACTGCACCAGTGGACCCACTGCCTACAAAGATGACTGCATCTTTCTCTGACGCATTCACCGCATTTCTAACAATGAGCCTGTGTGTGTGTGTGTGGTGTGTGTGTGTGTGTGTGTGTGTGTGTATGTATGGAGGTAAACTATATACAGTGAGACACACTGAATAAGACACACGTTGGTGGGGATATTGAAAGTTGACAACTCCCTTATTCAGAGGTATAAATACACATAAGATATGGGGTATAAATCAAGTGTCCTCTATAGAGAGTACAGTGTAGAACCCAGAGTGATATCTCCGAGACTCCAGCTCTGACCTCGCCTCCTCTCTGAAGTGGCCAGTCTGTCTGGAGGTGTAGGAGGATGCAGAGTGTGTGTTGCCATAGAGAGGAAGGACCTCCCTTCTCACATAGTCCTCTATGAACCCCAGAGACCTGGAGAGGAGGGCAGAGAGCTGGATCACGTGATACTCCCTGTGGGCTCACTTTCCAGATGCAGTGTAGTCTGCGTACACAACTGGAGGCACAACAATGAATATAGATAATGGCAGTATTGGTCCCACGAAACTGACCTTGTCTGGCGCCAAAAGGACCCCGCAGCGTAGAGCCGTGTCCTAGCTGAGACTCCTCGATGTGACGCAGCAGCTGCTCGGTGTTTCGTCTCTGTGGAACAGCCATGAGCAATGCCAACAGTCGTTTCTTCGCCACGCTGAATTGCGCATGCGCAGTGAGCCAAAGCGGGCGTGTCGGTTTCAAGATGTCACGAGAAGCAACAGACAACACTGCAGAACCCCCTTTTACTACTGCAGAAAACGAAGAACAGGATCTGCATCTCTCCATCGAGGAGGTGAGTCGCGTCACGTGATGTCTAGCGCGCAAACACTGCGCTCTATACGTACTGTAGCTGTCCACGTCTCTGGTGGAACTGTACCAGATCTTACCTCCTCTCGTGAGCCAGGCTCAGAGCCTCGCCTCAGAGCTGGACAAACACTCCCACTTCTTCACTCAACGTCTTCAATCACATCAAGAAGACAACACTAATACTTCAACTACCAGCTGACTACGCCCATGGCCACGCCCACTGTACAGGAACCAGATTTGCCTCCCGAGCCGATTCCCAGACCACACCTCCATGTCTGGTGTGGTCGCTATTGGCGACTGGGTCTCAAGATATCGGTGACGCTGCTGTACCTGTTTATCCTGTTGGTGTGTCTGCCACTGCTGGTGTGGGAATTGTTCAGGGAGCACGCCAAGACCACCTTTTCCGCCTGGTTCGTGGCCGGCATCTTCATGCTCCTCACCCTCCCCATCTTCCTCTGGGGACTCCTTCAACACCTGCTCAACTACTCACAACCCCACCTCCAGAAACAAATCATTCGGTGAGCCCTACCCATTACCCATTTCTCTCTTTTTTTCATTTCTTTTCCCTCTTTCTTGTTTCATGCAGCATTTTGTGGATTGTACCCATCTACTCCATCGACAGTGTAAGTATGACATCACTACTAATAATAGAACTGTGCTACTAAAATACACCACCCTCAGTGGCTGGGTCTGAGGTTCCCAACGACAGCCATATATTGGAACACAGTGCGAGAGGTGTACGAGGCTTACGTCCTCTACAATTTCCTCTGCTACCTGCTCAACTTCCTTCAGTTTGAGCATCCAGACTTGGAGGAGAAGCTCACTCTGCGATCGCCCGTCAGGCACCCCATCCCTTGCTGCTGCCTCAAACCGTGGCCTGGAGGACTGTCGGTCTCGACCTCTCTGAGGAGACAAATGAGGATATTTGTTTCTCCTCTACAGGCGCTTCCTCCGATGGTGTAAGGTCGGAGTTCTCCAGTACACAGTCATTGAGATTCTTACGACCCTTATAGCTTTGTGAGTCCTCCACAACTTCTCTCTTCCATCTCTCTCTCTCTCTCTCTCTCTCTCTCTCTCATCTTCCTCCATTGTTGTCTGTGTTGGTCAGAATCACCGAGTTGGCTGGGGTGTACAAAGAAGGTCATTTCGGCCCAGATGGATCCTACGTGTACCTGGCCACCCTCAACTTCTTCTCAGTCTGCATTGCCATCCACTCTCTCCTCTACTTCTACAAGGAACCAGGCACCTCCTCAAACCCATCAATCCCATGGGGAAGTTCCTCACAATCAAAGCAATCATTTTCTTCTCCTTTTGGTAAGCAACAGGTGTGCCACGTACGTAAAGTTCTTGAGAAAATGAAATTGAAAAGAATTGTACAAATATTCCCACAGGCAGTCAGTCCTGATAGCCTTGCTGGTGAAGCTGAAAGCGCTCCCTCCCTCATGGAGGCAGTACGATATGGAAAACGTGGCTCTGGGGCTCCAGAACTTCCTCATCTGTGTGGAGATGTTGGTGGCTGCCTCTGCACACTACTTTATCTTTTCCCACAAACCCTTCGTCGACCCTGCTGCTGCTAAGGTATGTCAGTACACACACAGTGATAATGGACCCTTTGAATAAAGGACAGCTCTCTTTCAATGACACTTTAGTTCTGCACAATACTAGTACGTCGCTGTATTAATAGTACAATATCTCAAGAAAGGTAACTTCTGGACACTTTTTTCTACGTCCCCAAGGAGCTTTCATTTTATGAGGCTTTCATTGAGACTCAGATATATTCAACACAAACAGAGTTTCCTAGTTTGATGTATGTCCATATGACCTGCACGCTGGCTGTCACCAGGTGCCGTGTCTGACTCTCTGTGTGAGGATGTTGGACGTGAGAGACGTCTACGGAGATGTGAAGACTCATTTCGTTGACCCAATCCCTCGACCCACTCTCACTGGTAGGACACCAGAACTTTCCATGGAATGTTCAGTTGAACCCCTCTCTAAGGAAAAGGACACCTCTGAAATGAGGACACCGCTACACCTTGCAGGGGGACCATCCATATAGTTTTGCAAACCCCTCAAACAGGAACACCTCACGTTTATCAACATTTTCTTTGACTTTTACACAAACTGCATTCCACTACAGTGGAATGCTCTAAAACATGTATATACCATTAGGACAGGCTCTAAAGTATACTCCACAGTTCCTATGTAATCCTTACGCAATTCTGTATTCTCTTTAATTTTGCAGGTTTGAAGAGGTCGACGAGGTCAGAGGGTGAGATTAATGAGAAAAACCCTCTCCTCCACTCCTTTCCAGTGCCTCCTCCCCACACTTCCTCTCCTCCCCCTCCTCCTCCTCCTCCTCCGGCTCGTCGGACGTTTGCTGAGACGGTGGAGTTCAGTCATCTTGTTCTCGCCGTGGACACAACTCATCGCAGAACCAATCCAGCTGTCTCTAGTGACGGACATGAGGACGAATCTGAACAGCTGTCAACTGCTCAATAATTATTACTCCGCTGCATAATCAACAACACTTTTTCACTGCACTTCGTTGTTGTTTACGTGTGGCTACTGAGCATGCGCAGTATGACGCCATAAAGGATCACGTGTTGACCTCTGAACTTTCAGTGAGGGAGCAACAGAATGTCTCAGCAGCGGACGGGGAAGATTCCGGTGACGTCGTCGCGGGAGGACACGCTCTCAGAGAGCCAGTGGTCGATGGAGTTCGACAACTACGAGGAGGTATGAACACGTTTACATCGAGATCTCACGTGTATATACTTTCTCTGTCGTATGAACAACCACAGGGCGGGACAGCCATTACTACTGATCTGTCTCAGAACGATAGAGCTGTTCACATCGACTTCTTCAACAGTAGGCATAGCCTGGGATCCTCACTGTCACCTCCGTAACACTGGTTCTCTTCAACCATGCAGGTTTTGAGGACATCTTTGACGATGATGCACTTGACTAGACCACCCCCCTCACTGCACCCTCCCACTTCTCAAACACAGAGTTCCATTCACTCTCTGCATTCACTGGTTCTGCAGATCATCATTCTCATTCGGTGTGATATCAAAATTCATTGGTTAATATTTTACCACGGTCTATATCATTATTATTACGGTGTGGTGGACATATTATGGCTCAACAGTTAGGACATATAACAACATGAAATGCACATGATAAATAAAATATCCTCTGAAACAGGACGATTCGGTGGTTGCTAGTCTGCACTGTCTTTTGTACTGACTGGTTTCCATAGCAACAGGCAGCTGGCTGTCTGGGATATCTTGTGTGCACTCAAGGATTTCGTGGTCAGATTCTCATACCCGGTTCCACCACTCAGAACGAGAATGGAATCGCGACACTGGAGTTCGGTGAGGAATGCAATGGAGTCTGTGTGCCCGTGGGGGAGGTGTGAGAGGTGTGGGGAAGGGGAGAGTGGGGATGAGGGGAGGGGAGGGAGGGTGAGGATGACTCCTGTGCTTGTGCCGATAAGGAGCTGGTGATGGGAGATGAGGAGAGATGTCACTCTCAGAGATGACGTCTTGTTCTGTCTGATCAGTGGATGGTATCCTGGAGTGGGCGGACAATTTACTGACTAGTTTACTGGGAATTTACTGACGACTTTACCTCTGAGTATTTCGTGGAGCTTTTGTGAGCAGTCGAGTGAGGTGAGGAGGGAGGAGGTGGGGAGGTGATAGAGATGTAACAGAGGTCTGTCCCTCACACTCACCCATACCCTCTCCCCACCCTCCCTGTCCTCACCACCAGCACTCTCCACACACCCTATCAGCTGACCTTCCGGCAGAGATAAGACAGGCTGAAAGAGAGAGAGAGAAAACAGACTCTCAAAGACACTCCACTAGCTATAATCTAAGGTGAAGCATGCGTTTACGTACTTAATAACTTACATCCTTGACAATACTTTTTCCAAATGTGAGTATTATAGGTCGATGGAGTTAGTCATTCATTCTTTGACTATTTACTCCTTTACTACATGTAGAGAGGACTCACAGTGGCCTCCATGGTTGCAGTGTTGATGAGGAAGACTCTGGACTGCGAGGCAACCATCAGCCGTCTTCCCAGGGAACGACATGCGACAATGGGGGTGGAGTCGAGTCTAATTAGGTGGGTGTGGCCTCCGGAGGGATTCTGGGGGTCGAAAACGGCCACTTTTCCGTCAGCTAAACCAGCAAACACCTTTCTTCTGTGGTACCTGGACACACGCATGACGTACCAATACAATAATTATCACAGCAGATCCACATGGGAAATTTTGGTACATATGTGCATTCAAGGTGCTACATGAAAATTAAAAATGGTCTGGTATATTGTATAGGAGAGAGAAGGTATTTATCACCTGATGCAGTGGACTGAGGCTGGGAGTTGGATGGTGCAGCGATTGCTGCGAGATCGGAGGTTGCTGCCGGGATGGTAGACCAGGATCTGACCTCCCTCAGTTCCCAGCCACATGCTGGAACCCCTCCCTTCCTCCACCCCACTCTCTTCCTTTGTCAGCCCCTCCACAATGGGTGGCGATCTCATCTTCCAGTACTTGGGATCAATGGGGGGTGGCGGAGAGAGAGATGTGGCTCCTCGCTCACCCCTCCTCCTGAATCCCTCCTCAGTCGGCGAAACATCAGCTGCTACCACTTTCAGGAGGTCCGGGGCCGAGTTGGAACAGACGCGATGAAACCCGTTTCTCTTTCTCGGGCTGCCGTCTTCGTGACCCCCGAACGCAATCTGGTGGATGGGGGCGGGGTCTATGGGGATGACATCATCGGTGGGGTCGGTGCGGGGATCACTGCGAGTGCTAGTGAGACTAGGGGAGCGACTGAGTGATGGAGTTGTGGAGGACGAGTCAGAAGAAAATGAAGTTATCAGAGATCCACGAATGTCTCTTGGCATTGACTGTGTCACCTTCCCCACCAGCTCAGGAGAAACTACCGGGACTGTCCGATCCTCCAATGGGACATCCAAATTATCAGACCCATCCTCTAACGGGACGTCCAAATTCGTAGACAGGCCGTCGGACTCCAGAGAGAGAGCGGTAGAAGGGCGATCGTTGTCAGAGTCTTGAACAGGTATGGCGGAGATGCAGAGGATCTTGGAGTCACTGACAGTGATGTTGGCCACCATGTGAGGCCTGGTGGAGGTCTCCAGGTCAAGGAGACACACCTGACCTCCGTACCCGTCGCAACAGGCCACCCAGAGATTGTGGTACGACGCTCCGTCGCCAGGGAGACCGACACCTGCACATGACAACTGTAGAACAAGGGAGAGGTAAAAGCTACTCCAAATAGAGCACCCACCTATGTACTAATGACAAATTAAAAGCAAATTGTTTGGCTGGCGTTCCTACTAACAGCAAATTGAAGACAACTTTGCATTTCTCATTAACTACAGTTTGAGGAGGCCACTAATTACGAAAGTATGAATTTTGCATTTCTCACCCAATTACTAAGTTAAACACGAGGCCAAACAACAAGTGATGCAAGTATTAAAGATGTGCCTAGTACAGTTAAAAACCCTCCCATTCCCCATACCTCCATTCCAGCTCGGCCAGACTGCACGTGGAGAGGATGAAGGAATTCAAACCCTCCATCGTCCGACGGCTGAGGTGAGCTACGAGACGAATGGGGCGCGGCCAGCAGTGGGGAGCACGTGGATCTCTTCACTTTGAGGAAGTCCTCTTCCCACGAGTTTCTGATCTTCTGAGACGGGAAAATGATGGAATACTGCGTCGGAGGGAGACTGGCCCACACACCACATGGAAAGAGGAAAATATACAGTACTTTCATCATTAACAGAAAAACATTCTCAATGTGTGGGTGGGGTATTTTGATAAGAACTTCAAAAGGTCTTCTGTTTCCTTTTTGAAATCCTGTCTGTCTCGCTATGTGGTAGTTTACCAATTAACAACCATCGCCACAAATACTTGTTTCTTGCAGTATCGAACTGAAGGAAAAGTGGCTTCCATTTGTTTACTCAACAACATGCACATGCCACACACAGTGGACTGTCCATAAATGAGAGTTCGATTCAAATGGCGGAGACAGTTGGTGTACTGAGTACTCAGACAGAGTTTGCCTTGACATGACTAACTAGCAACACTTCCATTAGTGACTATGACAGAGAGAGAGAGTTGGGGCTGGGGTGACAGGCCAGCCAACACAGCGTGAGGCAAATGCAGGCGGACACGTTCCATGTCCCTGGTACAGACACAACATACTACCATGCCAACTCCCGTCACACACACGCACACAACCCATGGATAATGTTTCATTAGAGATTGGAGTACAGGTCACGTGATGATCATGTGACAATCACCTGTTGTAGCACATGAGGTCGACTCTGGAGTGGAGGAGAGGAAGGTTTTCAAGCTCCGCCTTCTTGTCCGATATGCTCTGTCTCACCTCTGATAGCATGTCCTTTAGTAGAGAGCTCAGTGGCTGACAGGGAGAGGAGAGAGAGAGAGGGAGAGGAGAGAGGGAGAGAGGAGAGAGGGAGATCAGGGGAAATTACTTGGTTTACTCAATGTTGTGACTGGACTAACTGGACACTAATGACTGTGGTGATTCTAACTTTTTAATGAGGTTTGTGGGTAGACTAATTACACCCAGTCCGCCCCCAGGCTGTCTGTGGTCACGTGATAGTCACCTGATGAGGCTGCCTGAGAGTGTTGCTGGTCTCCAGGAGCTGTGTCAGCGTGGCCTCGTCTTTTCCCAGGTTCTCAACCATCTTGTCCAGTGTGTTCTTCTTCTTCCTCTCCACCATTGGAGCTGGAGACAGTAATGTACAATAAAGGGTCTTGAAAAAAATCTTTAGTTAAATAAGAGCAATGTTTACTAGTGAAATGGGGTTTTCTGCTAGAATAGGTGTACAAAGAGGGGGAAACTAGAACTGAAAAATAGCCACCACCACCACCACTGCAGGGGAGTCTGGTTATGTAGCTGTAGTATTTCATTACCTAATGTGGGGGTAAACTACTACATAGTGAGATGTCAGTGGCGAAGATCAAAGAGGGGGGAATATAGGCTTCATGGGAGGTCTGGGAAGACAGACCAAACCTGACCCACCTCAGAATAGAGTAGTCTTACTGTTCTTGTGACAAACATTGACTACTGGGAGGGAGAACTATATACAATGAAGCTGGTTCATAACTGTAGCTGAGTTTAGAGCCTGCATCTTCTTCAGTAGACATGTGAACATGCGAGTGTATCGCTACAGAGGAGAGCTGAGTGGCCACTAACACTGCTGACTGAGTACTACATCTTCAGAGCTACAGGTATATTGCAGAGCTGCAAATGCAGAGCTGCAAATGCTGACCACTATTACACAGAGTCTTTACTATAAGAGAGCTGAGTGCTTACTAAGACTCCACCTGAGAGGCCAGCTAGACAGAGTGGGGTGTTGCAAGAGAGGCTGCCATTAGACACTCAGAGGAGGGGGCAGGTTTTCAAAGCAGGCCACATCTCTGTGACAGAGAGATCAGAGGGACACATGTGTGTACCTTGGACTTCCCCCATTGAGAGGTGCTTGAGTGGCGTGCTCCATTTGATCTTGTATCTGAAGGTGTCGGGCTGGAGTGTGCTGAGGTTGCTGTGTGTGCGTGTGTGTGTGTGAGGGTGGGGAAAAGGGGGTCAGTAATGGCAAGACAAAAAATGGAAATAGAAAATGAAGTGGAGAGGGAAAGAAGGACTTACAGGAGAGAGCTTCTCCTGAGTCCAGTGCTCTTGCGCCGTGTTGAGGCACAGACCATGACGTCTGAGAACAGAATGAGGAACCTGTCCCTCTTGTGGGCGGAGCCCTGGGCCTCGGTGACCAGATCATACCTCACCAGTTCCGACTCCGGTCGAACAAACTGAACACAGAGAGAGAGAGAGGAAGAGAAACATGATGTAGCCATGGAACTTTCTGGCTTGCTACGAAATATCTCACGATAGGAATTTCAATTGTATGAGTATGTAAGTCAATAGGTAAATTAAAAATGCTATATGAATTTCTAATGCAAAACAGAGTACACCCTATAATGGTGGGAGTGTGAACAATTGAATAGAGGCTCATGCTAGACATTTCTCCAGCAAATGTTGCATTATTCAAAGCATGAAAAAGAGCTCCCAATCCAGAGAAGGAAGAGGGGAGAGAGGAAAGAAAGATGGAGATCAGACCAGAGCCAGCCCGTCGACTGAGGTGAGGAGTTCCCTCTGCTTCTCACTCCTGGCCATCTCTCTCTCGCTCTCGTTGACCCTCTCCACTAGTCCCTTCAGTTCCTCCAGAGCCTGATGGAGGGGGGCGTGGTCAGGGTGGTTGGCTGACGTGTGTTTGAGGAGGTCTTTGATAAAGAGGAGGTAGCGAGGGATCCTCTGGACTGGCTTTATCAGAAGGTCGTCCAGAGACAGTTTCCCCGTGCTGGCTTTGGAGCGCTGCATACACAGACACACACACACATAGCAGTTACCTAGCTTCTATGTGCTCTCGTGACTTTCGTGACATTTTGTACAAAGAAAAAAGTCAAGGGCCCATTAATATCAGTGGGAATCTATTAAATGACACATTACACCATAATTAAGGTGGGAGTCTGAGCAAATTTCGAGGTTGAGAGTAAACCATTAATTCATGTGTAGCTATATAATTATAGTACCACAGTAGAGTGCTCCACCACATGTGAAATTATCAATTCATGAACACTTTCGTACTTTCCCTGATAGAACCAAGAGCTACTGAGAGGTGATATGGATAGTGTGGAGGTCTTCGCCTCACAGACTAGGCAGTGGGACTAGACGTCTTAGTCAACCGCACCCTAACGAGACAACGCCACACCCTCCACTGGGGGGCACACTAATTCCCTAGTCATCAGCCAGGGACTCACTCCACATGGAACCAGTGTTTCCACACACTGACCTTATCCAGTACACCATGCAACCTTGTACACTATACAGCCTGCCCATGAGACTTCATACTTGAGGTGTAGCCATAGAGAGGAGAGAGGGAGAGGCTCTGAAATGGCCATGTTACATTAACCCTCTCCTCTGCCAGAGAGGAGTGTGGCTTCAGATATCTGAGCATCTATGAACAATATCTCGATTCCCTCAGCCAGGACTAGTAAACTGTACCTAATTGAATTGTCATATATGGCAGCTACACGGTCCACTGTGGACAGACACGGCTATATAAGGAGCATGTATAGAGAAGAAATGGAGTGAGTGTCTGTAATAGACTTGGCCAAGTCACACGCCGCAGTAGGAACAGTTATTACCGAGGAATTCAGATCTTACCTCTATAAACTTGGCAAAGACAGGTCGAGCTTGCTTTGCTATTTCAATGGCTGCCTTGGCCCTCATGAAATTGTGGATGAACATTGTGTATATGTTCATCAGATGGCACTTTGAAAACTATGGGAGGGAGAGAGGGTTAGTACTGATTCCAGGTGACATGTAATGAAAGTGAAGAACAAAAACTAACAGACGAAATGATGTTCACAGGAAAACGAGCTAGAAACGCTGGCCAATGGCTGTCACTCACAGTGTTGACAAAAACGTCTCCAATCTTCTGGAGAGGATGCCAGCGCTCCGTCCGCTGGCTGATCTGCAGCAGAAACCTCTCATGGAGACCGCAGATCTCCGGGATCTGGTAGAATATATCCCTCACTAGAGATGAATCAATCATTCCAAACGCTTGTGGTTTCTTCAGTGGCTCGAGGTACACCTTAGGGACAAAGAGAGAGAGAGAGAGAGAGAGAAAAGGGGGAGGAAGGAGAAAGAGGATAGGTGGAGCTGTGATATCATTGACAGTAGGAGATTTAATGGAGTGGTGAATAAGAGCTCCTAGTAGTGGCACCTCTAAAAGAAGCCCCCAGCAGGAAGTAATGGAGTAAAACTCACCTTTATGATTGTGCGCAGACTCTGTACATATGACTGCTCCGTCTCCAGTAGAAACCGAACCACGTGGTGCCTCATCTCCTTCTGCAGGGGGAGAGAGAGGAGAGAGAGGAGGAGAGAGAGGGGGAGGATATTCCTCTGGGACTCAGACAATAGAGTAGGGATCATTGCTAGGAGCTCTGCTGGCAAACAGAGGGCTAGAGGCAGTCGCAACTCCCACAGTTTTACTCTCACCCCAGCCCAGGAGGCAGCAGAGCTCTCTCTCTCACTCTCTCGCAGTTTACTGATGACACACCATTGCTTTCCCCTCAGCCAATTGTGTTGGCTTTCATTTCGCTGCACTTTAAAGAGGCGGTTACTTTTAGTGCAAATTCAACACATATTTCTTTGAAAACTCTGCTTTCAAACGTAATGCAAAGTAGTTGACTCTCACTGGCCGATGAAGATACTGTACTACAAACACATGTACTCAACTATTGCCCACGCCACACACACTACAGGGTGCATAACATTATGGCATGTGCTGGACTGTAGGCAATTTGTGCTCTCCAAACTGGCTGCCTCTGACTGCACTACTCTGAATAGCTAATCCAGACTCACCCAGTCCGGAGAAAGGTTGGAGCCACCCACGGAGAATGTGAATCCTTTACGCAGGGGCCTGTTAGCTCTGCTCAGCCCACCTCCACCTCCACCCTCTGCTCTGTTGGCACGTCTCCGCTCGTTTGTCGGACTGTTGCCTGTCTCTGGCGTGCTGGGTGCCGAGCCTGGATCAGAGAGCTTCCTGCGGAGGACCTTCCCTCGAGAGGGAGAGGAGGGAGGACTGGGGCCAGGGGATCCCTCACTGGAGTTCTGGGGAGCTGCGTCTCTTGGAAGAGAAGAGGAGAGGCACTGAGGTTCCTCGGAGCCAGCTGGAAGTTTTGTGAAGCTGGGGAGAGACGGTCTCTTGTGCTTGCTCGAGGAGAGCGGCCTGAGGCGCTGCTGATTAGCCTCCTCTTTCTCCAACCCCAACGAAGTTAGCTCGCGACAAGACCCGAAGCGATTACCGTGGATGTAGCCGAGGCTTCCCAGCCGATCCTCTCCCTCGTCGGCGGAGCTCAGACTACCTCTATCTTCCTCGTAGATGGTGCTGGTATCGCCGGCCACTCGCTTCCTGCTCATCAGTACAGGGCTCTGGGTCACCTGCGGCGGTTCGTTCATTGCCGCGGTCTCCCCACCACGACTCAGGGCCCCGAAGATGTTGCGCGCTCTCTTTTTCTTGTCCCCCGTCCCGAGGGAGAAGGAGAGAGCTCTCCCGACCTTCTTGGCCTTTTTCAGCTTGCCTTGCGACATGTCTTCCACGTCCGAGGCGCTCCCCGAAGGCACAGAGAAACTTCGCAGCTGCTTCGGCTTTCTTTCTTCCTCGGGACTCGTGAGGACGTTCAGTCCTTTGTTGCCGTTGGCACTGAGGCAGTTGGTGACGAGGGAACTGGGCGGTCGCTGCCGATCCGGACTGGAAACCGGGATAATACGATTGTTTCTCAGGCTCCGGAGCTTACTAAAGGCCTTGGTTTTCACACTTGTTACTTCCCTGGCCGCCGGACCTAGTACAGCCGGTACCGAGAGTCTACGGCTTCTGCTCGTGTCAAGGGAGTCGCTCGACCGGTGGCCGTTGGCCGTGGGCGCCGCTCTCCTCTGCACCCCGTTCTCTGCGACGACAGTTCGGAACTGGCGCGACGAAGACGTCCAGAGAATGTGTCTCGGCCGAGGTCTCGTGGGATATCCGCTGTCAGAGTAGTAATCGCTCAAATCTGGTTCACTATTTTCGACTTCCTCCTCCCTGTCGCTTGCCGGGCAAGTAGGAGTGTACAAACTGTTGCTTTTGCTAGCTGTCGATCTGACGCAGTAGCCGCCTGCACTACTACTGCCGCTCATTTGCACCTGCGCGTTCATGGCCAAGTCCCGTCGTGGTCGGTCGTCAATGGTGCGATGAAGTATCCAGTTTCCACGGCTAATACTTACACAGCTAACTCGATACGCGTTGAGAGAATCGCAGATCTAGGCCACGAATGTCTGTACTAATCCTATACCGTTGTTTACGTTGTTGGACCACATGAAAAGTTCAAAGGGAGCGCATAAAGGTATCAGGTGTAAACTTGCACGCTGCATAGTTATTGACTTCCTTCTTGTGCGGAAGTGCAGCGTTAATCAGTGAAAATACCCTAACGTTGTGCGCGTGCGCAATGCTAGCTCAGCTTCTTGCTCGAGATGTTTCTTCAAGCTGCGAGGGGGAGCTCGTTGCTGCTGTTGCTGGTGGTTCTATGGCTGGAGGTGAGCCATGCTTGGACACCGCGGGAACCAGAGAACGTGTTCTGCTACTCCACTGCTGGCGGTAAGGCTCTGCGCTGCAGCTAGTTCGCTTTCTGCACGGTCGAATTCTGACCAGGTGTGTCTCATCCAGGGTCTGCGGGGAGAGGCGGAGAGATAGTTCCTGGTCGCTGTGGGGAGACGTGCAGCGCGAGAGTGGACAAGCATCAGTGGCTTGGCTGGCTGGGCGTCATTGTCGCTGTCTTATTTCTAGGGAGCACTTACGTTGTTGTGAAGCAATTCGATTCTGCCGATGGTAAAGTTTGCACAGTCTACAACCATAGCGGGCCTCATTTTCTTGCCGTGGGACGACCCGTAGTTTGCAAGTATACTTGGACCTCTGTCAGGCGAAGGGAGCTACTGTTGATTTATAGGAGGGGTTATGAACCAGTGACAATGCTTGTGGGGCAATAGACTGGAAATGTGGAAATGGTGCTTCATTCATCCTTTCTTTGACACTAAACTATCAACGATTGAAGAACACACAAACACTCTCCTACCCCTTCTCTCTGTGTGTGTTCCCTCCAGGCATGTTCTTTCAGTGGGTGTTGTGTATTGGAATATGGATGGTGGGTCTGGTGGTTAACATGACTCGATACCAACCGCCTTTCTTCCTCCCCTCCCTCATTGCTGGCCTCCTCTGGTCTGTAGGTGAGTAAGGCCTCCATGTATAGCTCAGAACTTATTCGATTCTTCTATCAGGTAATGTATTGGTGGTACCGATAGTGAAGCTGATAGGATTAGCTGTGGGAATGACGCTATGGAGTATGGCTACTCTCGTCTCAGGCTGGATTGCTGGCGTGTAAGTCTGTGTGCATGACTGAATATGATAGCGCTGGAGTTTGTTTCTCTCTCACTTGTACAGCTTCATATTTGATCAGGAGCTTCGCTGTGCACCTCTCAATTATGTCGGAGTTGCAATCATTATCACCAGGTCTTCACAATCACAGAACTATATAATGAGAACTTACAATTGGTATAATATACAGGGAATGTATGTAGACAGTTGATAACCAAAGTTTCCCACCTATATACTTTCCCTCTCTATCCCTCTCTGCAGTGCTCTTATGCTGATGTTTGTTCGCAGTGACGGGAAGAACCAACCAAACAGCAGGCTCACTATTCAGTCAACCAAATCAGTTCTAGATAACTCCATTGACACTCTACTCAGCAATAGACCAGTGAGCTTCCTACTTACCCTATCCCCCCGTGCCCTGTCTCTATCTCTTCCACTACAGAGAGAAACCAAGGATTGGGTCGAGAAGCTGGGTGCTTGGCCAAGAAGAGTATTGTAAGTCATCAGGCAGTGCGTTGTAAAGAGTGCAGCTGAATTTCAAATGGCTGAGTCGTGTATTGTTGTTGTCTAGTGATGAACAAACAAAACTCCCTGTCAAAGAATACACAGTCACACAAACACCCAGATATGTAAACCCTCTTTGGCGCTACACTGTGACACCTTAGATAGTCCCTTGTGTCAAAAGGACAACTCTAACTGTCGTGTAGTGCCTATTTGCCGGTGGGTCTCCCGTGACCCTCTCATGTACGAAACATTGCCTTCACTGCCCATGTAGGGGAGTCTCTGCTGCTATGCTGGCTGGCTGCATATTCGGAGGCCAGTTTATTCCCATTGAATACCTGAAACTCTGCAATGATCCGGAGCACTCGTGCGAGGACCTGGACTATCTATTTGGTTACTACACTGGGATTCTAGCAGGGGGTACAGCATTTCTAGCAGTCTATTCTGCCTTCAAGAGGAACAGACCGTGGACGAACCCTGGACTCATCCTGCCTGGGATCGTGGCAGGCATCATGTGGGGCATAGGCTCAGGTCAGCTCCATATCTCATTCCCTCTCTGACTCTGAGATGAGGGTCTTGTTCTTTTCCCGATACAGTTGGAGTGTTTTTGGCTAACAAATATCTCTCCCTTGCTATCAGTATCCCATTTATAACAACAGTGAGTGAAGAGCACCAACAGTCAGTTCTAAGATGAGCATTCCTGGAATCGTATAATTGTGTGTATATATTATGGGATCACTCCCCTAATCAATGCAAACTGACTCCAAGTGCCTTCATTATCTACTTGGCCACTGCTGCATGTCTCCATTTGCCATTATAGGGAGGACAATTTGTGTCCAGTGCTTGGGGCATTCTGCTCTTCAAAGAGATAAAGGTAATTATACCAGTCTGTGGTACACATGTGGTAGCTAATGCTGTCTGCTCCCACAGGGTTGGAAGCACCTATTGCTATTTGCAGGAGCTCTAGGAGTAAGCCTGTGTGGACTGATAATGGAGGGAGTGTCTCACTGTGCCATCGGCTGTCGAGTTGGACTCAACACTCAACAAAACAGCTAGCTAACCCTCATTTCCCAAAACTGTGGATGTCAATTGTGTCAAATGTCTGGTTTTGGCACAGTTCACCACATGATGATTGTTTGTGAATTTGGGCAGGGTGCGCATGCGCAATGAGTCACATGATGTAACCGCATGCGCGTAAGGGGTGTGTGCTGGTCCTTCCCTCTCGATCTCTCACGAGCTTTCTCTTGCGCTGGTCTGGAATTAGGCGAGGATGCATTTCCGACATTGTTGGGTAGTGCTCGGAGTGTTCCTGGTCAGTGTGACTGGAGGCTCAGCGAGCGGCTGGAGCCACGAGGAAGAAGAAGAAGACTATTCCCTCCTGTTGCTAGGGAGACGGAGCAACTCCAGCGAGGGCACCAGTTGGAAACCTGGCTCTCCGAGCACCTGGATCTGCTACAGCACCGCAGGCAGTGAGTCATCATCCACGTCTATTTAGTGTAAATCACTGCGTAATCCAAGAACAAGATATTGAAACATCCATTATAGATGTGTGTGTGTGTGTGTGAAAATATTGGAGTAGGTGCTCATCCTTACTCTTCTGATCCTCATGTTCTTTTGGTCTCAATCATTATCGTCTGGGTGTTGCTGCAGGCATTACTCCAGATGGAGGTCACGTCAACATGAGCAGCTGTGGGGACGGGGGGAAGGAGAGTGACGTTTGGGTCGGCTGGGTGGGTGTGGTCATTGCCGTCGTCTTCTTCGGCAGCAACTTTATCCCCGTCAAGAAGTTTGATACTGGAGATGGTAAGTCAAGGATTAATAATTTAAGTTTTTTGGGAGAGTTTTATTTCACAAACTTGTGTCTTGTGAGGTTTTCAGTTTGTGTTTCAGGTCTGTTCTTCCAGTGGATGTTGTGTATTGGGATCTGGTTGGTGGGTCTGGTGGTAAACATGATCCTCCTCATGCCCCCCTTCTTCATCCCCTCCCTCCTCGGAGGGTTCCTCTGGACCACTGGGAACCTCATGGCCGTCTCCATCATCAAGATGATCGGGCTCACCATGGGCCTCACCGTGTGGGGCGTCACCAACATGCTCTCCGGGTGGTTCATCGGCACGTACGTCACATGATCCTCACATGACTAGTCTTGTGATGTCATATGATGGTCCCCAGGGTCATTCTGAAGGAATCCATGAAATGTGCTCCCCTCAATTACAGTGCAGTGGCCATTGTAGTCATCAGGTCAGTCTCACCCCATAACACGATTCCCATTCCACACATTCGTATTCCCCATTCCTCTATACCCTCATTCCCCATTCCTCCATACCCCGGTGCTCAGTGTCATTGTCCTGGCATTTGTAAAGAGCTCGGGGAAGAAGACAGACAACTCAAGAAGAGTGGCCGAAACCTCGCCTCTCCTCGCTGAACAGGACTCTCTAGAAGGTTCTCTCAGAGATAAAGTGGTGAGGGGATGCCCCTGTAATCACTGCTTGTTATTGGTATTCCATTTGTTGCCCACCACAGGTCCAGAGGGAGAGCGGGAGAGCCAGCATTCAGAACTCGTACGACAAATTGACCTTTAGCCCCTCGGCCCGGAATGGGGGTGTGGGGTCTCAGGAATGGGACGAGAGAGACGAGGATTATTCCTGGACCGACAAACTCGGAGTATGGCCACGGAGAATAATGTATGTCACACCCACCAGCCACACCCCCTAATTATACATCTCTCTCCAATTGCTCCAGAGGGTTCTCCCTGGCTCTGGTGGCTGGCGTTTTCTTTGGGACTCAGTTTATTGTCATAGAATACATGAAGCTCTGTACTGACAGGGCTCACAGCTGTAGCGGTATGCTTGTCTCTCATCCACACACACACAGGGCTCACAGCTGTAGCGGTATGCTTGTCTCTCATCCACACACACACAGGGCTCACAGCTGTAGCGGTATGCTTGTCTCTCATCCACACACACAGTGCTTACTGTATAATGTACTACCAAAGCTCAAAGAGTAAATAGCAACAATATAATCCTTAGTGTTAACTTATTTTGGTAGCTATATACAAGAGAGCAAAAAACATACTTCGCCATACTTATTTACAAAAACACAAAAGGATTATAACTTGTCTCTCTCATTGTGTTCTCTCTCTCTCCCTGGACTGCACAGATATTAACTACCTGTTTGGTCACTACAGTGGAATACTGCTGGCCAGTACCTTTTACTTTGTTGTCTACTGTCTGCTAATGAAGAACAGACCCAGGGTCTACCCCAAAGCCATTCTCCCTGGTCTCCTCTCTGGGATCATGTGGGGCATCGCCATGGGTCAGTCTGTCGAGCCTCAAACCTATGATGAATTATTGGCAATTTTGCAAGTATGAGTCCCGTAAACATTGTGTGAAGGACACATCTCTAATAATTCACAAATACACATGCCTTAATCCATTTGATTGCTGTAATGTTGGTCTGTGTTCCGTTCCAGTGGGCTGGTTCCTGGCCAACCAGCGACTCTCTCTGGCTGTCAGTTTCCCTATCATCACCGCGGTAAGTCAGACCACACCCACCCAGCCACTCGTAATCCCTCCTCTAATTACCAGGGACCAGGGTTCGTCAGTTCAGCCTGGGGCATCTTCATCTTTAGAGAAATCAAGGTATCTTCGCTTTTATTTTTGGCCAAACAGTGGTTTGGCCTCAAGGATTTAGCTACAAAATTTTGAATCCAGCAATTCAATGCAGGGTTGGAGGAATGTTATTCTCTATTTCATTGCCTTCTGCATCTCGTTGAGTGGACAGATCTTAGATGGCTTATCGAAAGGAACAGTCGAATGTCACCCCAAATAATGCACACCTTATATTATTGTGCACTGCTGGTTTTAACGTGTGTGAGTGTGTGTACAAGTTCAATTTGTACTGAAATTAATAAAGATAAAATGAAAAGCACTGAAGTGCAAACCCTCAGCGAACTGTGACGCAGAATCGTAAGTAAACGCATGCGCCGTACCACTAATTGATGGGCTGGGTTTAGCTTTAGCTGTTACGCGTGGTCTCTTGCCAGCTCACGCAGAGTCTGACGCGGTCTAACTACACTACTAGATAGCATGCGAGAGGCGATACACGCCCTGCGTTGCATCTTCTGGTGACTCCGAGGTACGCAGAGCACGCGGGTCGATCATGCCGTAGTAAGCCGTTGAGTATTTGCAATTGGCTTTTTCGCGCTCTAGCTTTGCAACGGAGCGTTTTCAGAGAAAACCGTTCGAAATTTCTGACCTTCATTGCCCGTTCAGTAGGTGGTATCCTTTGTGAGACGAACAAACACCCGAGAAGTGAGATTGAGAGTAACAGACACACAGACCCAAGTACTGTAAACCCTCGCTGCGCATGCGCGCCGAGGGTTAACAATATGCAACACATTGACCATAGTAAAATATTGCAGAGAATTATTGCGATACCTGATACTTGTAGAATAGTTTTCACATTTGTCAAGCAAGAACGTATAGAATGTGGGGTCTCGGAAAGACCAAGAGCATTGTAGACTAGTTTTTGAGCTATTATGAAGCAAGAAAACTTCCATGTAGCAGTAGAATGCAACGAAAACTTCACTGTGGATAATA